GAGGGGTATGAGCAGTATGAGGCATGGCTACAATGGGTGATCTGTTTGGTATTTTAAGCAAAAAACTTCACAGACATGTTTTGCATAGGTATGGCCCTACAATATATTTTTCCAATATAGCATAATAGGTCCACTTTAAAATAGATCATCCTTTTGTTAACCAAGACGAGGCAAAAATAATGCTAACCCTAACCCAATGTAGAGGTATTTGTGATGAAAAGTACTTAAAACAACAAGTAGGGCTTCGCAATCACAATTGTGAAGCCCTACTATTAAATACGATTCAAACTACTTCAATCCTGATTGTGTATTGATAGACTCAAAACCCTTTGAGATGAAGTGGTATGAAGGCCAATCCTTAGAAGAGTAAATAATGCAACCACACAATGTGTTAATCCTATTGATGTGAATGTGCCCAGATTGTTTAATCAGTACAAAAACCTCAGTTTTAAAGAAGATTTAGTAAAAGATGGTGAACTCAGTGACTTCCTGGAGTCTCCGTTCGTTGCCTGGCAACCTTATTATTGGTAACAAGACTACAGTAGGAAAAATAAATAGTCCTGCACATGAACCCCCATATAACCATACGTTGACAGATAAATATTAATATTTAAAGAGCAAACATTAGAATGGAAAGCAAACAAATGTATTTACCAAAATGTCACACAATACATTTAGGAATTATTTATCTTTCTTTTGTTTTTGTATTTATTTATTTAAGAATCGACAATGCATATTAAATAACATGAGCACTTAGCCATTGAGGCTCATTTTCATATGCAGTTCTTGGCAGGTTGATGGCATTGAAACAAAACATACATGAGTTCATAGGCACAGAAAAACACATGAACACAATGGCAACACGTAAACCCAGGTAAAAGCACATATGGATTAAGAAACATTAGCACAATTGACTCACAATTGCAACACATATAAAACACATAGGACTAGTTAAAAGCCCTTTTAAAAATCCATTAACATGCATGCATCCGACACAAAATCACATACATAAGAAATGATAAAAGCGAATATGCACGGAGAGCATGAAAAACAATGATATGAACCTTACTCCAGGCAGCAAGTTTGATTGTCCAGTAACCACTGTTTTACATATTTGGAAAATTACTTAAGAGATATGATGTTACTTAGTTCTGTCGGTAGTGTAGTTTTAAATATTATTCAAATTATTTATTTGGGGTAAAAAAATATTTTACTAACTTAATGTTAATCTCCTCATGTCAAACAAAGTGACTTTAGTTTGGCTGTTATGATCGACATTGCAATAAAACCTTGATCTTTACAGGCCATTCAGTTTTATCTCCTACCTTTACTTTTATACTCTTTCGCTCAAGATATCCCAGTTTGTATGAAAAACATGAAATTATTTTTGATAAATCTTAAAAAACATACAAAATGATTCTCAGTGCAGTTTTGCCAATGTCTCTCGCCTCCCTGTACAGAAAACAGTGTCTCTTTCATTAGTGTAACATGCAGCCATAAGGCATGGATGCATATGAATACATAACACGCAGCTGATAACATTAATATAATCCAATTAATGTTTGTTCGTTAGAGTGTTATTGGTTAGCTTCCTGTTTTAATGAAGCAACACTTTTTTAATTTCTTTACACGATAATTTGTATACATAATGCCAAAGCAACTAGATGAAACCCCTCAGCCATGACCAAACTACTCTCAGTCTATTGCTCTGAGTCGCCTATAGTTGCCTGCAGTAAAAAAAAGGCTAATTTGGTTCACACACACACACTCATACACAGATAGAGAGAGCAAGAGACAAGGAGAATTGTGTTTACATTTTATTACAAGTGTCAACTCCGTATGAGGAAAAAGTTGTTAAAGTGGAATTGAACAGTGTTTCCATTACGTTTTTCATGTGCCCCAGGACAGTTTATTTTCTATTAGTGAAAATGAACTACTGTCCCCAATAGACAGTCACCAGAGAGGGAAGGGTCTCTGCAACATATCACCTGCAAACTGATATCAAATAAGCTGCCACAAAATGTGTTATTTGTCACTGGTTTGGAGTTAGAGACTCATATCTAATCAAATTGTTCAAACTTTTCTCTAAATGTGTTCGGTCTTATTTTGTGGATAAAATGAGGAAAAATTTGATATGTAACAGGGCCCTATTATGCTTATTTTCAGGTTCAGTGTAACATAGTGATGTCATTCCTCCGGGGGGTTCAGGCACGGGGGGATTGTGTGGGAGAGAAACTCCCTGTGGAGGGAACTACAGGATTTTAGCCTTTGGAGACCATTTACACGCACAAAAACCTATAGAACACTGCAGGAAGGAAAAAACCCCAAAACGCATAATAGGGCCCCTTTAATCATCTGCCTCATCTGTAAAACATTGTTCTTATTCCATTGCAAAGAGAATCTCATAACTCCAACCTTAATTATCTCACTGCTTTCAGTTCAAATGTAGGAGTTAATTTCTGTATTTGAAGTCATGTATTATGACGGGTTTCTCACAGGGTTTCTTCTCAATTCGTCCAGATTAACAGAGATAACGCTCTTTTGACTGGATTTAAGGTTATTTTAAAGTTAAAAGCTAATCAAGCAGCGTGGAAAGATTTCTTAAACTTTTGTGAGAACCTCCTTAAATGTGTATAAATCACAGAGTTTATCTCAGACACATCTAAAAGTCATCTTAAAAAATATCACATCAGCTCCTTTGAAAATGAAAGTTGTGAGTGCTGCGGGTATTTTAGGAATATTGGCACTCATTTGAGGGTGGGTGCTGTCATCGTTGACATAAACCCCAGTGGGGCATAACATATTTTTACCTTATAAGAAAAGTTCCCAAAAGTTTGTTCTTGTTGAGAATTTTAAAAACAAAATCTCTTATTTGAACAAGTAAAGGTTACAGACAATATACAAATATGACAGTATACATTACAGTACACAGGAATAACAAATGAGTTCAATGTTTGTGAAAAAGTAATCACAGTGTACAGTAAGGATGGTACTTATATGGTAGTCACACATCAAGGTTTCCCTTTCAATTTCATCTTTTCTGCAGCTTCTGTAAAGTCAGTAAGCAGATTTAGTTATTTTCTTTCCAAAGCTTTTTTTGTCCAGATCTACTTAGATTTTATTACCAGTCGGGGAATCTTGGGACCTTCAACTTTAATGAGCTTTGCATTTTCTGTACATTACAGATACAAATAAAAACAAGATGGAGAATGGTTCAATGAGCGGGGAAATAGAGTAAACTTTAGACTTTACCTTAGAGTAAAATATTAAACCCTCCCTGTAAACTTCAATGTCAAGCCTGAGAAGTTATATCAGTAACCAAAATCATCTTTAATAAAGTACAATTCTCTTTCCATTTGCATGAAGAAGGTAAAATAGCTTGTACATAGTTTGTGTATACATCCTTCCTGCATTTAAGAGAAGCGTCATTGCCAAAACTGAACAGAATCTTAAGTGACAAATCATGAAAAACCACATTGATTATTCTCATTATGACTCTTAATGAATGGTCTGAATATTGTCACATATTCAGCCTTCTTATTCTGTCACACTGACGCTCAAAAACCTAAAGCTATTGAACAAGCAATCACACAAGACAAAGAAAAGCAGCAGTTCACAAATGAAATGATGATGTCTGGCCTTGAATGATTTACGCAGTGAAAGGGAGAGTGATATGTTGAGTAATTAATCTGGTCCAGATGTTCTGAAACAATACTGTAATTACGGTTTAAGCACAGGTCATTGCAGCACTCCTTAGGGTGCCATACAACACAACAGCTGTAACTTTGCCAAGCCCCTGAGAGGTGTTAATTCAAATGTAAGGTCATTTTATTGCCATGCAGTCATTTGTGATGATTGAAATGGATTGCCTTATATACCAAGGATTTTTATCATTGCGTGAGCCCTATGAATAGTATTATATTCAGTCAGCGTTCAGATTCAATATACCCAAAGTATTCTGTAAACAGTACGTTCAACCATCATCTTCTTACTTTACCTGATCTTATCATCTCCTGTTTTAATACTGTTGTCAGATCAAAGCTTCTGATGGGTACATACAATACCATAAAAAGTCATATTGATATGCTGAAGCTTACATAGCCCATGAACATAATTAGTTTTTTATATGAATAGTTTTCCATTATACTTTATATAACGCAAATGTCTAAAATGCATTATAAACATTGCTCTATAATCTTCTTTGACTTTTACATAATGCTATTTAACAATAACCATTTCATATAATAAAGCATTTTATAATCCTTCATAATTGTTGCTCACTGACATTTAATTGTGCAAGGCTCATAGAGTAGTATAATTACATAGTTGTAATACAATGCATTATTTTCATTACGCATTATAATCAGTTATTATGGGAGGCTGTGGCTCAGTGGGTAGTGTGCTGGACTTCGAATCAGGGGGTAGCAAGGTCGAGTCCCACTGCAGTCAGCATGTCGTTGTGTCCCTGGGCAAGACACTTCACCCCAAATTGCTCCTGTGGGGATTGTCCACAGTACTGAATGTATGTAAGTCGCTTTGGATAAAAGCGTCTAACAAATGACATGTAATGTAATGTATTATACAATACAATGTCTTTATTCCTACTATGTCATTATGTGCTTTAAGTGAACTAATACAGGCATATATAATTCATATATACATAAATACATAACAAGCTTGTTGTCAGTTATTATAAGGGGTTATTGTATGCTTTAGGTTAGTAATAAAAAATAGAATTAACTGGACAACGTCAGCGATTAACCAGTAAATATGACAAATGATGATACTTGACCTTATAAGTCATTATAAAATGCTTTATCATGTATTTTGCCTACTGGTATAAATCATTGTAAATATGAGTGCTTATTTTAAGTATACAGTGCTATAAGCAGATTGAATACATTGTAATCATGTTTATAACGCATTATAGAACATTTTATTTATTACCAAAGGCATGTTACTCTATTTGTGAATGACATAATTGATATAGAGGAGAAGTTTTCAAAATGTCCCAGTAATCACATTACTATCATGACATGAATCTTAAAATGACATGATTTTGATGACATGCATATTGAATATTAAACTGAAGTTGTCCATAAAGCAAAGCCAAGCATTAAGTGACTTGCACTGCATGACAGCTATGGGAAGAATCTTGTCACCACCAGGACATAATGTATAATTGTATTTAGTAAATATTGAGAAGGCTGCTTAGCATTCAGCTGCATTCAACTCTCACAGCATGTGGCATTCATACAAGTCTGATGCCACAGATGTGATGATTTGCAGCCACAGTGTTAGTGATATTTTAAAATGTCTCTTCCATGCAAAGGTAAAATGCAAAGTGTCTGACTAAATGCAAGAGATAAAAGAGAGGCAATCAGGGCGGGCCCAGAAGGAATATTACTCAGACAACTGATGAAATGGTAATAACAGTAAATATTCTGTTCTGTTATTGTCTACAATTTGCTTCAAGGCAGAGAATCTCCAATGTTTCCCATCATTACTATACGCAAAGTTCCCTCCACAGGAGTACTCAGTTTAGAGAGACAAACAAAAGCATGATGTAAATACTCTCAGCAGTGAAGAAGCCCCTCTTCTCTCTCCCCTTTCTCCCCATGATTAGCATTTCAAACAGTCCTTGTTTTTGCATCAGAGCTTCATGCCATCACAGCCTTGCAGGTGGCCTGTCCAACCAGTGGAGTCGAAAAGCAGCCTTTCCGTGTGTGTGTGTAGTTGTGTGAGGGCGTGCTTGGGAGAGTGCCTCTTCTTGGTAAGGAGTAGTCCAAAGGGACCTGACCTCTTTACAGAGCTCGGAGTAAAAGCATTGTTTACAAATGCTAATCATAAATATCTCAGTATTTGTGGTCTCCTGCTTTGATCGACAGAGACAGTCACAAGCATCAAACTGGATTCACATTCTGCCTCCTGAAAATCCACAAAATCTCTCTTTTAAGTGTCTGCCAGCAGGTCCATCCAAACTTTGATTGAGTGCATCACAATGTGCCCAGCATATCAAGCACTGAAACAATGATACAGACGATTGCAGTTGCTGTCTGTTTGGACTGGGAAAGGGCGCTGCGACATTTTATCTCAAGTCAGATGCTAATAGATTGTCCGCTCCGTGGGATTAACCCGACCAAAATTGTGTTTAAAGCAAAAGGGAAATTAAAAATAATGAGCTCCTGCGGTTTAAAGCTCATCTAATTAAATCTATATTGTTCTTTGCTCTATCTGACGGGGCGTTCACTGTCCTCAGAGTCCCGTGTTAGTTAGGGTGATGCAGCAGGTCGGGACAGGCTTCGAATGATTAGATTGGGCTCCTGTCTTGCTACCGTGCCACCTAAAAACAAAAACATATTAAAGTACAAAGTTTCAACAACTCGTTAATTTCAACCTCAATATACTTTAAACTAAATTAAGCTGAGGGATATGATAAAATGTCCATTTCATTTAGCATATAAAGTCATTAGCTCCACCGTTACCAGCTGCAACACTAACGTGATTAACATATTAATGTGTCAATATCTATAATTACTTTATATATTGTAAATTATTCAGAAATTCAGCAAAATTGGGTGTTTTTCCTCAAGTATATAATGATGTTAATACTTTTGCACTCTTACGTAATTCAATATTTGGATGCAAGACCTTTACGTGTACCAGTGTATCTACACTGAGCCCTTCTTCCCTGTTCTAACCCTTTCTGTTCAGTAGAATAATCTGATGCACCGCATGACTACTGGGCATCCTTTGATCCCTGGCCGCATGCCGCCAGAGCTAACTTTCCACTGTTTCACTGTAAAATGCTCCCCCCAGGATTCATACACATAAAACAGTTCAACAAAAAGGCAATTTATAAGAAAATGCATTTCCAAACACAGTGGGGTTTCCTTTGGCCGTCAGATTTAATTACATGGGTTTTACTGTTTAGTATTAGTTTACAGCTTATTTCCTGTTTGTCCTCTTGGCCCCATCATTCACAAGATTATAGAATTAGGGTTTCTGAGCCAACTGTGCCTGGCAGAGAGCAAGACGGTTGATATGGCCAATGGGAGCAATGATTATGCCTGATTGTGGAATCTTTCGGGCATTAAAGGAGAGCTTACTAAATAAAGCGTTATGATGAGCATTCACAAGTCTGTCGGCCCTGTTTTGCACAAGAGTGTTGCAATAAAAAAGGAGAAGATTTACCATAAGACTGAGTTTTAGCATCTATAAATACCACGCCTTAAACTAAATCCATTTTGTGTTATTTCCTCCGTACAGTGTGACTCAGAGCGAGGCTGGCCTTACCTTTGTGGTCTTTACTTTGTTCCCAAAGATGCATGACCATCCAGTGAGGTCTGGGAGAGCCCGGCACTCTTCCCCATCTAGACAAGGCTCCATTTTACACCACCACTTCTGACGAACAATGGAGGCTGGAGAGAATCACACCACAGCCGAAGGTCACTTTAAAGAAAGGACTTCAAAATACACTTGTTTGGTAAAAACATAGACTGCAGGGGAAAAATACATCTCAATCAGAGGTCAACTTCTCAAAAGCCCCTTAATCAGTGGACTCTGCTGAAACTGACTGTACTCTTAACAATAATATATTCATGTCATGCCAGAGTATTTCAGGTTGAGAGAGGAAGAAGAGGGTCCCAGTAATATTACCTTCAACACAAGAGGGCAGAGCTCTTGTTGTCCCTGCCACCTGTCCTGGGAAGCACGAGCACTTGACTGTTTGAGAGCGTTCCTCAATTTTGTTCTTGTTGCAGCAACGATGAGCAGCAACCACTTCACAAGTCCCTGTCCTCTCCTGCGATGACCCTGAAGAAGATAATTTAGAGGAAAAGGTGACAATTTCTCATACTTTACTTTACATGTAAGTAGAGGCAACTTGAGTGACTTCAGCCGGAACAAATGACATTATTGTTCTCACGTTTTCTTGGCTTAGATAGTTGTTACATTTAAATAAATATGGTTACACTCGTTCAGATTGTCAGATAAGCAAAGCAGTACTTCAACCCTAGTGTTGATGTTTCTAAAGCCACAGCGCCACCAAGTGGATGAACAAGCATCAGCACTCATGTCACACTAAAACCCATATAAAATGTAAAAACATTTTAGCAGCCATCGGCATGTTCGGATACCTAATTGAATTTGATTAGTTTTAGATTATCTAACAAAAGAGAAACTACAAAAATAAACCACATGAACAGAAATATCTGTCCAACATCTGCTGCTGCATTACTTTACCAAAAAAAGAAAAATGCTTTTGGTGATAATCACACCGCTGGTGATTCATGCAGAGACACTTAAAGAGACCTTCCAAATTAAGAGGTGCAACAAAGCGGAAGTAAAAGAAAAGATAAAGATCAAACTCATGCGTGCTTGTTGTTGCTGAACCTAAAGTGCTTGATTGACCAATAACACCTGCATGGATGGAAGGGTGATTCATAAATAAAGTGTTGTTTAAAATCAGACTACAATCAAGAAAAGAAATGGAACCTGTAATTATTCAAAACAAAGAAACATCTCAGTTTTAATGTAACACTAAACTACTTCACTACATTTGAGTTATAAATATTGTACTCTTTACAAAATACTGCATAGGCTTATGAAATACAATGGAATAATATGGATTAAACCAGTGGTTCATAAAATGTTCCAGCTTGTGGACCCTTAAAACAATAACTGAATATATATTTGGGTTGCTTGGGCAACCCTAAAAAGGTCTTAACTTTAACTTGTTATCGAGTACTTCCACATTATTTTATGGTTATTTTTACTAAGCTAAAGGATACAAATACTTCCACCACCATTGCTTTGATTGCAATAACTTAGGTATGTGGTCAATCAAATCCCTTTACAGGGCCTTTACATTCATTTTCTTATCTGTCTTACTACTGGGATCTGTCTAAACATAAAAAACGACACCCTCCATATTGACTTCTGTGTCTAATGACAAGGTTTCAGGTTACGTTGCTTGAACTAAGTTCTCTACTAGGCGACCACGGTGGTGACCAGGAGCCATAATGAGACCCTTAGGGGGTGAGACAGGTCTGGTTGGGTCTGACACTCACTTGTCTGTCCTCGGGAGCTTTGGTTGCCAGTGGACACAAGCTGGCTGCAGAGGCTTACTACACAAAGGAGCAGGAGGCTCCAGTGTAATGGTCGAGGCAATATGTTCAGCTTCATCTCGCCTGCACAGAGAAAGAGGTTCATGCACACTCAATCAGAATTAGACCAATATGTGGGACCATTAAGTCAATTAATATGGCTTTTTAAATGCTTCTGATATCTCCCGACTCCTGATATGATTCATTCAATCATTGCATCTATTTGCTCAATCATGACTCTCACATCACTGGGCCAAGCCAAGGCAAATTAAAGAAATGCCAATAAAAGGCCGATCCGAGGCAGATGAGAGTAGCTTGCACTCATGTCTGACTCATATTATCCCTTCAGCTGAAAACAGCTCTGTATTCAAAGCTAAACTCTCCCTCCAGAACAAGTTGTATTCCACATGAGTCACAGAAAAACTGGGACATTGACTTTGAAGCAGCAATAATGAATGCAGGACAAAGATGACAGAGTAAAACATCACTGCTCACTCAGTTTACTTGAGGAATTTCTTTCACCACTTAACACCAGTTATATATTGGCTATAGCTTAGAGTTGCAGGTAAAGAGTATTTGTGTCCATATCAATAACTCTGCAGAAAGGCCATTTGAAACTAACAAAACAAATATTTGATTTACAATCATGCGACACAAATGATTGCCCTTAAGGAGCTGGAACCAGCAAAATGTCAAGAATGTAGCTTGAAATAATAACGATTATTCGAGCTTGATAATAGTATGCCATTCAAAGTTACTCTGCCAGCCTTTTAACATTTTAGAACATCAGATATATCAAAAATAAACACAGGGCCTGTTGACATTCTCCAGACTATTGGCAGTGATTGCTATTCATTTTAAAAATATGAAACTACTTACCTCTGTTCAGGTTATTGATATGCATGATAAACCACTGCTGGAGCCTCCATCGGTTTCTGGGTTTGCATCATGCATGGGCTACTCTATAAAACTATCGTTTCGGGAAGGATGCAAAAGTTTAGTGTAGATATGATCCTCCATTTTCAGAAGTTTTCTTTCCCAATTCAGAGTACGAGGGAGGAAAAAAGTCGCTAGATCTCTTGTCTCCGGTATATAACGCCCCAGCTGATACAGCCAACACGTCGGTTCATAGAAACCCTGCAGCTTCACACCTCAGCTGCTCTACCTGCAGAAACTACTCTCACAAACAGGATGTGAAGTGACAGATATGTTGTTCTGTGCCCTCCGAGCCTGGCAGCTTTAACCGTCGGGAAAATTAAAACTTAATCAAGACAGAAACCATCTGTCCCCCGGACAATGTGCGGCCACTTTCATTAGCGCCATAAGAAGCTTAAAGTGCGGATCGACATCCTGTCACAAAGCGGACAGAGGGAGTAATCTTCTCACTCACGAGATATGTCATGCCTTCCCCTTAAGATAACATTTGAAAAACAGCTTTTTTATTATTATTATTTGGCTGTCACTTTGCCAAACAGCAAAGGTGAGATTACACACCCTGTTTGTTTGCTTCAGGTTCCCGGTGTTGTGTCAAAGTATGCACCCCCATAATGAAATGCCCCCCTTGTCACGGGAACGCGCATTTCTAAATGACACGTTTACACCTTAAAACGATGTTTAAAACGAAAAGTAAATGCTCAGGGTTTTTATTAATGGTAATTTTCAGACTGTGAGTTGTATAGTGGTAGCTCATATAGTCTTGATTCTTGTGGTTAAACTTTTCGCTCCATATTTGATGGTAGTGGTGTCGAAATTCATTCGTCACTTCCTTTTCAGTTTTTGTTTTTTTTAATCTTTTTATTTTGTTATTATTGTTACGTCCTGTCTGTATACACATGCTTTAAAATGTATTGTTTAATTTTACATATTTGTCATATAATAATCAAAATATATGTTTACAAATGTTACAAATGTACATAGTCTTTGTCAGAATATTTTTGCCACGTTATGCACCCCTTGCTATCTTACATAATAAAAGTGTCACATTCATGAAACTTGCTCCATTCATTGGTACTAGTCCTACAACTATACCCTGAAAAATGCTTGAGGGTGGGATTAATACAAACATCTTTTTGGGTGGGGTGCATTTTATGACAGGCCTGGTTATCACAATATGCCCCCCCTTAATATCTTACAAAATAAAAGTGTCACATTGATGAAACTTGCTCCATTCATTGGTACTAGTCCTACAACTATACCCTAACAAATGCTTGAGGGTGGGATTAATAGAAACATCTTTTTTTGGGGGGGGGGGTGCATTTTATGACAGGCCTGGTTTATCATCCGAGTCAGAAATAAAACAAATATGGAGTGAGGGCTAGTCCTGCAATTGTCCAATACATTTACATACACACAGTAATTAATAATACATGTTGAATGAAATAAAGTGACATATTATCCATACTAAAATTGTGTACATTATCACACATAAAATAAACATTCATTTTGAAGATTAGAGTCCAGTGACATGGTAAGCAATCAAAGTCAGTGTGAACAACATGTCATATTCATCTTTAACCCTTGTGTTGTGTTCGAAAGCTGTTACCGTTCATGGTGTTCGCGGGTCAATTTTGACCCATGATTTATCTCCATCTCCAAAACACTCAAAAATAATGACCAAACAATCCTGTTGTAATTTAAAGGTTATGATGGAGTTAAAACAATATTGGATGATAGTCATTATTTTGGAGTGTTTTGGAGATGGAGATAAATCATGGGTCAAAATTGACCCGAGAACACCATGAACGGTAACAGCTTTCGAACACAACACAAGGGTTAAAGATGAATATGACATGTTGTTCACACTGACTTTGATTGCTTACCATGTCACTGGACTCTAATCTTCAAAATGAATGTTTATTTTATGTGTGATAATGTACACAATTTTAGTATGGATAATATGTCACTTTATTTCTTTATTTCATTCAACATACATACTGTGTGTATGTAAATGTGTTGGACAATTGCAGGACTAGCCCTCACTCCATATTTGTTTTATTTCTGACTCGGATGATAAACCAGGCCTGTCATAAAATGCACCCCACCCAAAATATGTTTGTATTAATCCCACCCTCAAGCATTTTTCAGGGTATAGTTGTAGGACTAGTACCAATGAATGGAGCAAGTTTCATGAATGTGACACTTTTATTATGTAAGATAGCAAGGGGGGGCATATTGTGATAACCAGGCCTGTCATAAAATGCACCCCACCCAAAAAGATGTTTGTATTATTCCCACCCTCAAGCATTTTGTAGGGTATAGTTGTAGGACTAGTACCAATGAATGGAGCAAGGGGTGCATAACGTGGCAAAAATATGCGGACAAAGACTATGTAACATTTGTAAACATATATTTTGATTATTATATGACAAATATGTAAAATTAAACAATACATTGTAAAGCACGTGTATACAGACAGGACGTAACAATAATAACAAAAAAAATAGATTAAAAAAAACAAAAACTGAAAAGGAAGTGACGAATGAATTTCGACACCACTACCATCAAATACGGAGCGAAAAGTTTAACCACAAGAATCAAGACTATATGAGCAACCACTAAACAACTCACAGTCTGAAAATGACCATTAATAAAAACCCTGAACGTTTACTTTTCGTTTTAAACATCGTTTTAAGGTGTAAACGTGTCATTTAGAAATGCGCGTTCCCGTGACAAGCGGGGCATTTCATGATGGGGGTGCATAATTTGACACAACACCGGAATGACATTTTAATTTTGCAAACCCACTAATGAAGCAAATCATACCACTCAAAGTAAATATAAAACTGAGGTATCATTGTTATTTTAATTAAGTCTCACTAGAAAAGTAGATTAATTGTTCATAAAATAGTTTTAATTGCTAAGTGATTCATATTAGAAGATTGAAACTAATGTCATTTAAGATTTATAAATTCAATGTAACAAGGATATTTGTATTTGTGTTTTTGTTCTTTACATAAGACTTCCTATGTTTAATTGCTTTTTTGATACATTAAAGATAACCAGTGAAGCATCCTTTCAATTCCGTTGCTGCCATAACAAGTGAATTTTAAGGTCCATCTTATCTTATCTTATCCTCATTGCTTCTAAGTAAACAGATGTTACCAAACAATCTGGCAAAGAGGCAACCTTTATAACCACAATAATACAACTTTATTAGAGATTAGTGCACATTATTATTCTCATTAGATTGACAGGGAAATAGCTAGAACAGAAGTCAAAACAGCACATATACATCAACAAGGAAACAACGTTACAAATAGAAAAAGAAATCTGTTAGGATCGGTAAGGATTTCATATTCAATCCTGGAGGTCAGACCTCAGTCAATGTTTACATCGCAAATGTGCTGCTGCAACATCACAGAAACCTGGTGTTTGCATTCGGATGCAGTTACTTTGACATCAGTGCTGAGTGTTCAGGTGGGGAAATTGAGCTTGAAGAGAACCGTTTGGGGCGTGGTGACATCTGCCACCGCCAGCTCCTGTCCATCAGACAGGCCTAGCTCTGCATCAGGAGAGACAAATCATTTTATATGATATGTTTCAAAGATAGTCAGAAGCTACAACTCACTTAGGACTGACAGGGAATAATACAGGTTACCTTTCAAAGTCTTGCAAAGGTTTGGCCTGGTACGTTCCTCGATGGATTTAACAGACTGGAATACAAATGTTTTCGTAATTTAATTGTGGTTTATAATGAAATGTAGCTGACAAAACATCAAGCAGCATTCTCAGGTACTCAATTACAGTATGTATATTACCTGCAAATACAGCGTCTTATTCTTCCCTTCAAGAGTTGTGGTGATAGCCGGAGATTTCATTTGTCTGTAAAGAATGAATGTTTAATCAGTCAGTGTAGTATATAGTGTAGTATAGTGTTTTATTCCAAATACTTACAGAGAGGCATTTTCTGTTAGGTACTCTAAAACCTCCTGTAATTTGGCCGAAGGAGGGAACTGGAGATCCTGAGGCACCTGGCTGCAGGCTGAACAGTTTTCCTGCCGATCAAATAGATTATTATTCTCCGTACATAGTGAATACAACGATTGCTGACAACATGGTCACTGGTGGTATCGGTTATTGAGACAACAACAAACCTTTCGTTCAGCTTCAAAAGTGTAGGTGTACAGTCCGTCCACATCATTGAAGACCAGGTAATTATTCAAATGAATATATGCGCTGAAAAATAAAATCTGAGGTTAAGGGGTGTTCATTTGACCAATCAACTGGGCTGAGAGATTAAATTCTGCTTCTTACCTGGTAGCAATTTTAAAAACTTCAGTGGCACAGGCAGCTATGGAGAAAAACACAAACAAAATTAAAGAGGCCTTATTATGCTTTTTGTAAAATAGTGACGTAACTATGTAACACTAGCGCTTCTATTGGCTTGCGAGATCTCTAAGCGGTTGGCCAATCACAACAGAGCCAGCCAGCTAACCAATCAGAGCAGACTGGACTCTGGTTTCAGACAGAGGGTAACAAGAGGTGCTGCAGCACAGGCAGTATGAGAAAAAAAAAGCACTTTTTGAACATTAAAGCATGTAAATATGTCAGGCACAGAATACTAATATAAACCTGAACATGAGCATCAAAGGGCCACTTTCAGTTGTGTGAACTGTGCAATTGTTTTGGTACAATATATATTGAATGTCTTCTCCAAAAAGAAATGTCCACAACTGTAACTAGATACAGCAGGCCTGTCAAATAATGACTTCTTCACATGTCAAAAACTAATTTTTGCACAAGCAAATAAAGGAATAAATTGAACCGTGTAACTTTCTTTAATGCACTATTTAATTAACTTAAATAGTACCTTATATAACTACAAGGAATAGTTTGATTGATGCATAGATATAAGAAGCGTGTTTTATGTCTGCATCAATTTACAACAACATTTCAGCTAGCTTGACAGTATTAGTATCCGTAACTACAGGGGGCTTAGCCAACGGCCTACTTATTTTGAAATTGCAGCAAAGATACGTCAACAATGTTTTCATATATTTCCTTTCTGTCAACATGTCTGAACAGCAAGCCTCAACAACATCAGAGTGTCATACCAGCGATGACGGCATTAGTCGATGCCACAGCAGGAATGATCCTCTTCACAACTCCTGTGGCACAAAAACAGTCACACGTTTAATTCCAGCACGCAGTTATACATACTTGTGAACTCGAGAGTAGTCCATTTTAATGAAACACATTATCAGGGAAAAACTGGCTAATTTATTACATTAGCATTGAATAAATGATTGTCTTTTAATTTACAAGTTCACCTTGAGTGAGTCGGTATGTCACTCCTGTAATGTTGAACTCTGCAGCTCTTTCTTGGGCTCTTTCAAACACCCACGCGATGTGCTCTGGATTGTCTCCATCTAAGCTGGTATCTGGTTGAGGAAAATACCCTTGTAGTTAGCGTAAGTTGTTATGTGATGTAATTGTAATAATTTGCACAGATCGAAGGTTAATTAACGTGATTAGATTTGTTAAAAACAGGTAAGAACATGTGAGCTTACCTCCAAATGGCTTTTCTTTCGGCCACTGTAAGATTCTGGCATATTCAATGCAATGTTCTGGTAGCCGAGGCATTGACGCGATAGTGCACATGGGGAAGTTAATCTGTGGAGAGAAAGACATTTAAGTCAAGCACAAATGCATTTATAGGAGCAGTAGAAGCCCATTTGCTGCTCTACACAGTGAAATCAAACAGCTACAATATTAAAACTATAAAGTTACATGAGGAAGTACATTTCTTACTGTTTTTACAGTTTCTTTTTTGTGTTTTGACAAGATCAGAAGTGCTAAATAGTCACTGCTGTGCTGGTGGTAGCTATGAATACTCCCCCCCCAAACTAACAGCTGTTGGTGCAGATGGAAATGTTAAATATCTCCTCCTGTGCACCACAGATGCTGTCTCCCCCCCAAAAGACAAGTTCAACAACAGATGTGAAAGTGTATGTACAAATCTTATGATTCAAATAACAGAAGAATTGTTTTTTCTCTAATCATACAAATATTTGTATGTGAAACTAGAAGACGAATAGTGACCTGTGGCGGGTACAGCCCCAGTGTGCAGTCGATGCATGCGGTCATGCCGGGCAGAATGACCCGGGCGTTTCCTTTAAAGCCCTCCGTTCCTCCGTCTATCAGGGGGATGATGGAGCTGGGGTCCAGGACTCCTTCTTCATAGCTCAGGAGGGATATCTGGAGAAGGTAACGTCAATCATTGCCAGTGCTGGGGAGTGCTGAACTACATGTAATTCAAATTTTAAATATAGTTTGATAGCATGCATAATTGCTACATTTTCAAAGTAACATCCCCAACACTGATCTAACTCACCACTAGTTACACTAATACCCTCCTAATATGCAGAGGTATATAAAGTGGTCAAATATTTTGCCTACCAGCATCCCGTTCATCCAGCGTCTGGCTATGATGGAGTCCAGTCCACAGACGATGATGTGAAACTCTGGGAAAAGATGAGCATTTTAAACCTCTGACAAACTTCCTCTGTAAACTAAACTGAAGTATAGATTGTTTAAGAAAAGCACTCACGCCTGTAGAAAGACTCGTCAAAGTCTTGGATCTTCTTAAAGTGACTGCATGTTATTTATAAGGAAAAAATACCACAGTCGAGATATTTTATACACTGTAAACTATATCTGATATGTTTTTCAGCTGTGAAAACCGTGGATGGAAAGGATACGGGACAACTCTACATCCAGGGATACGACTGTTGATGAAGTCGGCAGCCACTTCTGCCTTCGGTCGTCCAACATCTTTGGGCCTAATGGGATGCAAAAAACTATTATTAATTACAGGACATTTGAGACGCTTAATGTAATTTGATTTAAATTGATTAAATCTCTCAGCTGCAGATGCAAAGGACATGGTATTTTTCATTTATTTTCAATCGAGGGCTATAAGCTAATCATATCATGTACTCTTCATTATTAAAACCATTAAAGGTGGGGTAGGTAATTTTGGAGAAACCAGCTCGAGATCGCTAGAATTTGAAAATACACAGCTGGAAAAAATCTGCCACTTCCTTACAGAGCCCCTCCTCCAACACACACGAACGCGCACATGACCAATGAGGGCACGAGATAAGTTTGTGCACAGATGGAAGGCTGACAGGCAGGTAGGCCATCCAGTTATTTTAGCCGGGCCGGCTAAAATGATTGGTCGTGCTTTTTACAGTACTACGGCTTCCACAGATGAAATATTTGTATGGATTTGTTGTCAAAGCACTTTAGATATTCATTGCTATCGGGATGTTAAGAGCATTCCATGGAATATAACAAAAAGTGTATCTCGAGCCGGTTTCTCAAACTTACCTACCCCACCTTTAAATAATTTTATTTATTTTTTTACCACACAATGCATTTCTTAAATAATACACTACTGTGAAAACTGTAATATTGAGGAAAATAGAAGTGAAGCCTACCTGAAAAGAAACTGCCTGTTGAGGTTGGACAAATCAATCGTGTCCATGTCAACCACATGAATCAGACGAAACCCAGAGAGGCCCTAAAGCACAACAAGATTTAGAAAGCAAATACATTTTATTTCTCAGCTTACACTTCAGAAGTAAGTCCATTTAACATAAGGTATTTCCTACCAGATTTTTGAGGAGTTCACACCCAAGTCCTCCTGCACCAATGACAAGAATCTTGCATGTCTCCAACAAGAACTGTAGAGACTGAGATAAAAGAAACACCACAATAATAAAGAAATGAAAATATACTGCGATTTGAAATATCTTTGTCACTAGACAATGTAAATATATAAGCTTTCTCACTCTAAACTGATTCAGTTTAAGATATGAAAATACTGATCTTGGTTATTATGATCTTTTGCTATGAAAGTATTTCGGTTACCTCAGTGCTTGGCTCAAAGTCAGGATGGGTGAACGGTCCAGGTCGCTCCAAAAACTTCCTCACATGATTCCACCGGCCATCCCAGTCGCAACCAGCGTCCCCGTGTCCTCCAACTACAGCCATTCTGGACACATAACACACTGAGATATACTGACCTTGCACCATAACTTAGATCAGTACATTTCTGCCTACTTATTCCTCTAGAAATGCCATGATCCACTTATTACACACATTTGTAACTAGGATGTGTGAAGAAGGGTGTGAAAGAAAGCAGTTGGCAGCTTTTAAAACTGTTATTTTGTGGATAGTTTGGTTATTTAAATGAAGACAACTTTAATCTTTTGAGATTACACAACCTAGATGTTTTGACTGTCTGGTTGGATAGTGGTTCCCAAAATGTTAGTCAGGACCACCACAAGGCATTGAGAGGCCACAAGATTGTATCCTATAGGAAATAGTCATAAATACTTCTGCAAACAAACAGCACCATTTGTTTGGCACCTCTTTCATCTTTTATTCAATATTCTTGGGGTCCCTAAATCATATTCTAGAAAATGTGTGTGGGGAAAGTCGCCCTTCATTAAGATATGACTAACTGACGATAATGCAGTGAGTTTATTAAGAAATCCCATTTTCCTGAGAATCCTCATTAACAGGTGCCTTGTCCCATTTCCACAATACATACCAATTGAATACAATATGAACTATACTTGCATTTAAAAAATAAGAAATCAATATAGTTAATGGATTATACCAACAGGAACATTGTAAATACCTGACTTGTCACACATGAATATGCATATTTGGACTGTCATTATCATTATGAACTTGATGTTTCATACACACTTTCAGCTCCAAGCATAGAATGCAAATAGCTGCTCCATTTGTACTTTGTGCATTGCATTGTGGGCCATTTTTGTATCACATGTTGTAATGTTATGTTTACTTGTTTGAGTTTGCTTTGCACTCTACATACTCAAAACCTTTTTAGGATTAGTATGTAGTATGAAGTTCGTACAAAGTTTTAGTTGGATTGTTATTCCGGATGTGCCTTGTAAGGAGGATGCAGGATTGGTGCAGTGCAGGGTGTCTGCGTTATGTTTGGTATTGTGAATGGATACGCTGTGTTAACGGAGACATTTTTACAAACAACCAGCTGGGTTTCTAAGGCTGTCCCTTCCAGAAATGTTTTATTTTACTTGTCTCCTGGCCCAGCAGTCGCGGCTCAAACCTGCTGCCAGTCAGAGACCTTTATTTAGCATTCGTCACTAACTTCTCAGTCACGTCCTCTATTCGCCTTCTTTTCTTCTCCCTGCAAGAACAGAGTAAAACAGGGTTCAAGCATGCCGGGTTAACGACAAACGGCGCGGGTTAAACTACGATTAAATGATGTTTTTAGTCCATTGAGACTTACGGCTCCTCGGCATCCGCCATACTTTCACGGTCCCATGTCCTCGATTGTGTCTGCCATGTTTCCGAGGGTCAAACATGCACACTCTGCGCAAAGGAACCAAAGGCCATATGGAGCAATTGTATTCTTCTACTCGAACCCAACTAACTGATCTTTAAATGTGTCCATGTTTAAGGTAAAGGTCTCGTGTCAGATTATATATTGAGTTCACAAGGTGTTTGACAGAACGTTTGAATCAAATATGTTGTTTTTTTTTTTAATATAAAAAGTGTGCTACATTTTGCCATAAAAAAATACTGATAGCCTACAACTAAAGTGATTTAATAAGAAAAAAAAGAGAACACAAAACCTTAAATATTGTATGTATTAACAAAAGGCGTGGTTACATTTAAGAATTTAAATACATTTAAATATCAACAATTTTCCTAAAAATAACTCTAATAATCTTGTTTTTACTAATTAACCTGTACGTATCTGTATATTTTAGTATTCCATTTTTTTAAATGTAATTTGTCTGAATAAACAAGCTTGCTATTGTTCATCCCCTACGTTAATGTTAAAATATATAACTGAAAATAAGTTAAATGTTTTTTAACAAATAAACCTGTATTAGTGTTCTTTTAAATGTATTAATTGTATTTTTCTAAATAAACAACTCCGGCTATTGTTTCTTAAATCCCTTTTTTAAATGTTATTTGTATACTGTAATCATCAAGGAAGTCTTTGCATTGATTGGTGCAGCTGCGCATTCTAGAACGCAAGTGTAAAACGCTTGAGACTTTAACTCTCGTGAGATTTCGAGCGAGAGTACGGCTTGTTGTTAAGACGGTGATCAGCTGGCCTGTCAAAAATATTACGCAGCTAGCTCCTGTGGGTAGGTTCTTGTAGTCGCTTCACTACACGTTGAAGACATGGCAGCCAAAATGGAGCTTGCACCCCTCAGACAGTGGGATGATTTCTACCCCGGGATGGACCGGTTCGCCAAACCCGAGTTTGGAGATTTAACGAAGTGGAACAACAGAGTGATCAGTAATCTGATGTACTACCAGACCAATTATTTCGCGGCGGCTGTGGTGGTTTTCCTCATTGTAGGGTAAGTCATGGTAGCATGCTAGCTGGGCTAGCTAGCATCTATGGTTGGGTGTTTAACTGCATACCTTTTACCCACCACACCCATCATGCTATTTCTGTAACTATTGTATTGTTGAGGCGATCTTTGTGGCACACCCACTTAAAGCCTTTATATTTTATATGTCTTCTTCTAGGCCTATAGCAAATGTTCTTTTTAAATGTACACGTATTCAGTAGCATCAACTATCAGTTAAATAATAACTTTTGAGCTTACGTCAGATGTTTGCAAGTGATCACCCTTAGTCTCTGTAGTCTGTATATTAAAGTAAATGTTACTTACCGGGGTTTTAAGTTTGTTTGAGAAACGGTGATGTTACATTGGATCTTGGATCTCCTACCGTCAGATATCAATTCAAGAATTTCTATTTTCTGTGCATCTTTCAAGCTGGTTTGGTAATTGTCTTTGAATAGATCATGATGTATTGATTAGTATAGGCCTTAATGCAGGCCTATGCCCTCTTTTGGTTCATAACAGCTGTCCGGATGTTAGCAATTGTTATTGTTACCACTAGGTTGTGCTATTAAAACAATGCCAACACCGTCATGTACAATATGCCACTTTCCTGTTACAATATTCAGGTTCCTGAACCCATTTGGCATGTTTCTGGGAGGAGCTGTGGTGGCTCTGGTCTTCATGGGCTCAGTGTGGGCCGGAGAGAACCAGGTCATGGTGAAGAACTTCAAGAAGAAGAACCCCTCGGTGTTTGTCGTCTGTGTAATGGTCACCAGCTACTTCCTGCTGTCGCTGTGTGGAGGCGTCCTGGTCTTCATGTTTGGCATCACCTTCCCCTTGCTGTGTAAGTCACGTTGTTTACTTTAAAAAAAAAAAAAAAAACGTTTTCAAAGAAGACATCTTATTAATGCTGTCAGAGAGCCCTCCTCATGCAGTGCACTACATTCACGTTCCCACATTTTATATAAATATGAAATATATGCTCTATTTAGTGTCCTTATAAATTCCCATGGTGCAAGTTTGCTGAGATGGCTTTTAATTGTTACCATATGAATATGGAATTTTGGTCATGTGACAACACAACAATTCTGTTTCCAAGATCAATATTGAGCAAGTTTGAGGTTGAAAGAAAAAAAGGGTTTTGCCATTGTTGCCACAACCTCTACTGTAGCTGCTTGACCAGGGAAATAAAAGACACGTACAGTACACAACAAAATATAACATGGAAACTTTGAGCTGTGTAGTTCTTCATTGTTTTCTTTAGGTTCCCACACACTCCCTCTTGTGGTTTTAGGGCATGGCTCTTGTACAATTAGATTTAGTCGTAAGTATTCACACACACATTCCTTTCTCTCCTTCTGTATGCTCTGCGATTTTGATATAAAATATCTGCTAACTTTAAGGCATCAAATAAATTCCTTGCTTGACACCTGTTATTTTACAAGCAATTCACGTCGCAACACATTCATTTAACAGATGTGACACAGATATTAATTCACTCTAATGCGCATCATTATAGATTTAGTGCTTGGCCTAACCTGATTAAAATTATAACCTTCGTTCCCTACGGTATATCCCAAACACTCATTGGCTAATGTTATATGTTAAAGGTCCCATGTCATGCTTTTCCGGTTATTACCCGTCCCCTTGTGTGTTATGAAGGTTTTTCTGCATGTAAACGGTCTGCAAAGTCACAAACCCTCAAAGTACACCCTGTAGCGAATACAACTCTAACACAGAAAAGACCTGTCTATGCTGCCCCAGAACGCCTCGTTGGAGATTTATCTTTTTCTTCCTGGTACTAAGTGATGTAACGACGACCCAAATGGACCCATTGGTCCAAATGGACCAATCAGTGGAGCTCCTCACACACACACACTCTTTTAGCGGCGAAAATGTGACGCGCTGGGGGGGGGGTGTAATAGTGGAGCCTCGCAGCGCGGCGAAACTGTGGCGTGCTTACACTGTAGGTGCGCCGCGTTTGGGGGTGCGATGCGGGTGCTAGTGGAGCCTCGCAGATGGGGCTGCTGCAGCCCCCTCAGCACCCCCCCCCTTCCCGCATCCATTCGCGATGTCTCTCTGTCTCGCAGCAAGCAGGAAACCACACCAGTAATCCAGCTCGCACTGTCAGCTCCTCGTAGCAGCGAGCTGACCAGAGCACACTGGGCTCACAGGGAGGGGGGGGCAGGAGCTCCAACAAGCCGTTTAGGACAGAGAGTGAATACACAAACTATACAGAGATGCTGTATGAGAAAACCAATGTGAGTTTGGAAAATTGCACAATGTAAATCTATTCTAGTAGACCTCAACAATGGAATTATGATCAGTAGAAATGGCCATGACATGGGACCTTTAAACTGTTAGGGAAGATGGTGGCTCACACAGGGATGAGTAACAGAGATTTTCCTGTGGGTGAACAAGTTTTTCCAAGCACTCTCTCATTCTGACTCACTGTAGGGATTGAACGGCATGTACAGTGTTACTGACAGGCATTCACACATGACACAGATTGCAAAATAAAGTCAGCATTACACATCGAGCTGTACTGTCGTTCAGATGAATGATTGTGGGTTTACTTCAGCCTGCTAAACACATTTTGAGTCAGGCAGTCAGCAGGGTGGTTTAGTAAATGGATTGGTTGGATCATTAGAGCAAATGTAGCCACTCTAACATCATGGCCGATAGGTGAAAAGGTTTGATCGCTTCCCAGGAGGCCTGCCTGCTGCGGCTTGTGTTGAGGGGTTGCTATGGGTTGTTGATTTGGACACAACTACATTTACTTGCTGATGTCATGCGTTCAGTATCTGCCTGCCATGGGAATAAAAGACACTTTGATCCCTTCTCCTGCTTTAGTTGCAACAGTATCACATTTTTGTTTTCCTATTTTCCTTAGCTGTATTCCAGTTAAAAATCCTATAAGGTTGAGACACTGAAATGTATTTCTAAAACCTCACATGTTTTATTTTTTTATTTAGTAATTCTGATCCATGCCTCTCTGAGACTGCGCAACATGAAGAACAAAATGGAGAACAAGATTGAGGGTGTTGGGCTGAAGAAGACCCCCATGGGCATCATCATGGATCTCCTGGATCAGCAGGAGGAGAAAATGAACAAGATTCAGGATTTCCTTGAAAGCAAAATGAAAGATTAAGGCTATAGTCAAACGTGTGCCAAGGGGAGTCGGTATCATACAGCATGGATTAAAACCTCCTTAGCATAGTCCCATGTGTGGAGTTTTTTTTTACCCTGTAAACATGTCATGTTACTGATGTTGGCATTCCCATATTTTATATCCATTTTGGTTTACTTAATTCTCTTATACTTTACTCACAGATAGATGGTAACATGATTTGCACAATCACAGCGTGGATTGGATGTTGAAAGACAATGGGCACCAAAAAAAAGTTACCAAAGGTCATTAATTTGTAAAAGAAATGTTCCTAAAACACATCATTATCCTTGTCCACAACGCACTTTGTTCCACGTGACGACTGACTTGAAGCAGAATGTCTGAACACAATGTCTAGTGTCAATTGTGTTTGTTTAAAAAAATAATCAGATGCTTGCAGTTTGCAAGCATGTTTGATTCACCCAGTGAACTGTTAAATGCTTATTAAACAGCAATAACTCCCATTGTGTCACTCCAGGAGCTGAATACTGATATGAGACCTGTTTGTAGACAGAATTATGTGGTCATGGAAGTTTAAATATTCCTAATCTCAAAAGATGTGTGTACACACTTCTTGACCTTGCAGGCTGGCCTGAGTGTTCTGATCAAAGCTATGCAATATTGAAAAATGAATGGCAAGTGCAGCTTTATTGTTTGACTATTATGTCATGATATGTACATGTATGTTGTTTCTGATGTGTCTTTATTTCCATGATATGGCATGCGGAAATATATAAAATGGCTACAGGATACGATCATATTAAATTAATTAAATTGCCCTATTTTCCCCATTTCCTGTTAGGATTAAAACCATGTTCGTTTTGAAAAACGAAATTCAGTGTGTCATCTGTAATCTGTTAAGTGTTTGTTTTATACCGAAAGTATGAGCAGTTTCCTGTTGCTTTTATACATATGCAGATTAACTGTTTGTTTGTGCTACTTTCACAGATGGCAGTTCAGGAAGATTGTTACACGGATGCTAAATTATATATTTTCTGTTTTTATGCAACTGTTTCATTCTTGACTGATGATTAATTCACAGAACTTGACTTAAAACATGGCAGTCCTATAGAGAAATAAAGATGACCTGATTTATGTTGCATTCTTGTCCCTATTCATTCTCAGTATAAAAATATAGAAATATATTTAACATCAAACGCAGTAGTTTTTTGGCCGCCTTATTTGGGTTACATCTCTGTGAGAAACAAAGTGATAGATTGTAGAATATTACTGAAATTAAAAGCTTATTTATAACGCTAATGAATATCCCCTTGTGGATTATACACATTTATTTCAGTTTGACTAATTACCTTTAAAATCTGAAAAATAGAAAACGGCAATGATTCTCAGGGGATCCATTTACTTTGGACACAGATCTATTCCTTATAATACAAATGAAAAAGAAGGGAAGAAAGAGAAACCCAGGCAAAGAGAAGATTATTTTTATAACAAAAAGTAAATATATTGAACAGGATAGCTCGAGAATACATCTAACATTAATCAAACAAACCTATAAACCTACATTTATTTTAACAAGCAATGTCAAGAAATATATGAGCAACGGCAAAAGCTTAATATGGGGCATTCTTACTCATTTATAGCTTTTTTTATGAGTAACTAAAGCATCAGTATTTAGTGTGGAACAACAACCATCCAATATTTATTTTTGTGTAATAAAAGTATGGTTTCACTCTTATTTTGCAGTTAACTATATGATATATGTAAAATAAACATACAGTATGGTGAAGAAAACCAACAGCTGTAGCAAGTTTCAGCCTCAGAAGAGACTTGTTTCAGCCGATTCCAATTCTTTGGGGAGCGGCACCTGCAAGCAGCGACAAAGAAAAGAATAAAAAGATGACTAAGATTTCCAGAAGGTGTACACAACAACACACAGACAACAACTTATACGCTTTAAAACAAGTGAGAGAATATATTCATATGGCAAACACTCATCTGATCTGAGAAATGTAACACCGTCAACAGTACATTTTCAAATGGTTAAATTACTGATCAACACAAATTTAGCTCGCATTACAACTTCTTGTATACTCACATTTTTCAAATAGGCCACGTTGCTCTTTTTAATTTCACTCAGCAGATCATCACGGGGTGTGAAGTCAATCTTAGCTGGCTCTCGTTTGCGAGGGACGGGCTTCAAAGTCTTAATCACTTCAGTCAGGTTTGGTCTCTCATCTATCACCTCTCCATCGCCTACATCCATCGCCCGGTGAGTTTTCTTCAGTTGGAAATGAGCTGGCTGGGGTCTCTTGTTATCCCTCGGGTCCAGGTCCAGAAAAGGGTCACGTTTCTTGGGAGTCCTCTTCAGCTGGACGTCCCTCAAAGAGCCTGCTGGTTCGGCACTGGGTTGTTTGGGAGTGCTGTTTTGTTTCACCTTCTTCTGGGGCTCTTGTTTTGTCTCGTGCTGCTTTTGATGTTCGCTGCTCGGTTCAGACGAGGGTGGGACAAACCCATGCTCCTGCAGGAGTTCCATAGACGATACATACCCGAGCATCTCAAGCAAACCAGGAGGCAGGTTTAGACTGTTCTCATACATCTGCATCATCTTCTTCTGCTCCATGGCCTGCTGCTGCTTCTGATCCTCCTTCCTCAGCTGCCTCTGGCGGTCCAGATTCCGGGTCAAAAGGTTGGTCACCACCATCCTGGGCCCCGCCTGCTCAAAGTGGTAGCCCATCTTCAGGAGGGTGTTGTTGGCCTTGAGCAGGCGTGAGATCTCCATCTCTGCGTGGTGACCCAGCATGTGCCTCTGGTTGTGAAAACGCAGCTCTGTGAGGGTCTCGTTGAATTGGAGGCAGCGGATGATGGCCACGATGCCCTTTCCGGTTACAAAGTTAGACTCGATGTTCAAAGTGGTAATGCTTCGATTCTCTCGTAACATGTTAGCCAGGTGGAAAGAGATATTTTCATCCACACCGGTGTTGGCTATGCTGAATGTTTTCACTTGTCTGTTCTTCTTCAAAGCGTTGACGTAGTCTAAGAGCATCTCTTTGGGAATGTTTTCTATGTTGTTTAAATTAATCTCAGTGATAGAGGGGTTGTTGTTGCGGACTTTGTCAAGAGTCGTCTCCAAGTTTGTCTCATTTCCTGAGGGTCTTGATGTCATTTTTATATTATTGAATGCTAGCTTCGGTATATTTAATTTGTTAATTGTTCTCTCTTCTTTCTGCGGGAGCTTATCATTGGTTTCTTGTATCTCCGGCTCCTCTGCTGCCTCTTTGGGAAGCGAAGAGTCTGTAGTTTTAATTTCCTCTTTCTCTTCAACTTGTGATGTGCCGGGCCTTTGGGCTACGCTCTCAGTCTTCTCCTTTGTGTCTGATAAAGGCTGATTGTCATCTGTATTGTTTTCCGATACATTTTCCGTGTTAGTGTCTAGTTGATCTACATGCTTGTTTATATTTTCATGGTTTTCTGTTTTTATCTCTTCTTCCACTCGTTTTTCATTTTCATCCGCTTCATCCGTCTCGTCAACGACTTCAACAATTTCCTCAATGATCTCCTCTATAATTTCCTCTCCATCTGTACCATCTACAACTTCTTCCTCAATGACTTCCTCTATCACTTCATACTCCACGTCTTCTTCTTCTTCTTTCTTTTCCTCCCTCAAAGTTCTCTGATTAAAAACAACATCAGGCACAAGTTAGAAATCCTGCCTTTAACATCTAACAAAGGGGACTGTATGGTTCTTAAGTCAGTACTAATATTTTAAATTGATCTGCACCCAACCATTTGAGATGTTGACCTCTTACCTCACTGGGCAGCAGAGTAGTAGGCACTCTTTCTTCCTCAAGCATACGGTTGGACTCTTTCTCCCAGTAGAGGTAACCAACCAGCGATCGGTGGTCAAACGTTCCTGTTGGAAGTTTTTCCGTCTGGTCCTTTTGTCTCTGGCCCACCGGTACCCTCTCATCTGGGGCGATAATAACATCCATTTCACTCTGGAGCTCCTTAAGCTCCTCCGGCGAAAGCATAGCAAGAAGTTCATCCTCATCAATATCCTCTTCATTGAGATCCTCAAGGTCTTTACTGTTTGACATATTTGCTTCTTTCTTCTACTGAAATCAAAAAGGAAGTAGCCTATATCTTATGTCCAATCTATGACTCAGAACAGAGCGAACTGAGAAGCCTCTGACTTTGACTTCAGCTAGGAACTGTTGGCTCCTGCCGCATGTGGAGTCTAAAATTAAACGCTGTGAAAGGCATGGAAGATATTTAAAATACAAGCAGTGAGCATACTACATTCTTCTTTCAGCCCCTGCTCCCAGCTGGCTTGGCTGTCAGGATCTTTTGGGATGACAGCTGCTTCAGGCAAAGTGTGGGATTGACAGCAGCAGGTGGACCATTTAAACGGGGCCGGTGGCGAGCACAGCTCCTCCCAGTCTCCCAGATCTCATAACCTCTGAAGTGCTGCACAACAAACAAATGAGATCCAGCCAGAAGCGGTAATTAAGAAGTCATTTCTCAATAGGGAAATGGATACTAACATTGTAGAGAAAGCATTTTCTTCTCTCAGAGTTTTATTTAGATCATTACTCAAAGCACAGTTAGCTTTGTGAAGCACCTTGAGATGACGTTGTTTTTAAAGTGTGCTATATAAATCAAATGTATTATTATTATTTATTATTAAATGTTGCTAGTTTAAATTACCTGGTGCCATGAAATTACAGATTATGTATACAAGAAATACAAATCTAGGAGTAAAATTATAAAAGGAGTTTGACCTATTGAAAAATATTCTTATCTCTTGACCAGGCTAAATGCTACTTTGGTTCCAGTCTTTATGCTAAGCTAAGCTAACAGGCTACTAGCTTTGGCTTCATATTTTGATTGACAGATAGGTGTCGATTTTCTCATCTAAATCTCAGCAACTAAGTGAATACCAAAAGGTTTAGCTATACCTTTAAGCAGTGGCGTCGCCTGGCCTGGGCATCCGGGGCTTTAGCCCTGAATGTTTTTTCTCTAGCCCCGGACAATTCTCCCTCAATAATATAATACATTAACCGTGCTTTACGTGAACCTCATCATGACACAAGAGAGGACGGCAGCACTGTAATTTCCCGTGTTCAGTGAATGCAACAGAGGCATGACACCAGATCAGAGAGTTGCATGGAAATAAACGTGTGCTTGTGTCATTCAAGCTCGGCTCTGTGTGTGTGTGGCAATAGCGCATTTATGGCGCATTTCCACCATGGCGCGGAGCGCGCTTTAAGCGTGCCGTGTCGTGCCGTGCCCGTTTTTGGTTGCGCTTCCACTAGGCCTAGTTACTGCCCGGCCCGGCCCGGGGCCACTTTTTCACCTCTTTTCTGGCCCGACAAAATTGTGGTTCTATCGGGGCCAACAAACAGGGCTGAGTCGGGCTGAGTATGCTAAACTAGAGAGAGGATCGCTGGCAAGGGGGCTACAACTACAACAAGATGGACATATTTGACCGTGATTTAATTGTAATACACGTTTCAAAATGATGCCGAAGTAACAACATACTGATACCGGTTAGTAAAAACCATGAATTAATGCTTTGGCAAGTTTGCAGACAGACGGCAGGCGAAAAACCTTTTAAAATGCGTGTTTTCTAGATGGAGATTGGCTAAGCTAACGCAGTATATGCTCCGACCGTCCACACTCACAACAACGGCCTATACAGACATAAATAAAGCAGCGACTGTATTCACCATGACACAGGCAGTCTGTGGTGTGTACTTGTTTAACTTTTGTCGAGTTTCTGAACATATATAAGGAGCTGTGAGCTCTGAGTGCTAACAGCTAACGGCTGTGTTGTTTTTCTGGGGTTCTCGTTGAAGATGACGTCACGGCTCCGCCTACACTGCGTTACTATAGTAACTACCGCAGTTCCTAAACTGTAATGGAAGCGCAGCATGAAGTGAGTCGGCCCTGTTAAGGCCCAACGCGGCCAAGCCGTACCGTGCCGTACCGAGCGTGGCCGAGGCCGACCGTGTGGTGGAAAGCGCCATTAGTGTGATAGAGAGAGAGAGAGGGAGAGAGGGGGAGGGAGGGACCGGTGCCAGCATGGACCGTGTTGTTAGCATCTGGTTTGCTAGCTGCACTAACGGACATAAGGAGCTGTTTGTTCCACAAGAAGCTGGAGGAGAGTCCTCTCCTCTCAGACTGAGAGACTCAGGTGAGCTAAAGGACTCTCTGAGTGTTTAGATATAGTTCACTTTAGTCTAAGTTATCTCAGTGGGTCTCAAACGGTTTGGTCACAAATTATTCAAAAGATTATTTCCGCGGCACACCTTCATATGATCATTATAGTTATAAAAAAAATAAGAGAATAAAGGAAAAACAGTTATGAAATACTATATGGCAGTAAAACAAGAATAGAGTTTAAAAGGGGAGTGATTAGTAAAATATCCATAAAGAAAAAGTACATCTGTTTACAGTTCTGCTTCATATGGGTGTTGAGAGAGGTATCCATAGATCTCTTCATTTTGCTCTCAAAGTGCACCAGATTGATGCATTTAACTTCAATATTTAAAAAAAAATCTTCCCGGGGAGCATCCCCCCGGACCCCCCTAGAGGAGGTGAGCCCCCCACTCATAAAAAATACCACTTTACCCCTGCCTATATGCCTTGAGCTGATTATCGAGCCTTCATTGTAACAGTCGTGGTTGTACTGTGTGTGTGTGCGTGTGGGGAGTGTTGCAGTAGAATATTCCACTGTAGTGCCGCCGCCACTGTGGGTTAAGCCCCGAATGTTTTCAGGTCCAGGCGACGCCCCTGCCTTTAAGGTTTTACTCATAACAGAACCTGACCCGGTTGTTTACCCCCCAAACAAACCTCTCAATGAAGGTGACAACAGCCGTCTGTCGGTCACATGTATTTATTCACATCCTTGTTCCCAGTGGAAAATATTTTATGACAACATCTAACATGTAACTACACACTGACTGTACAAATATGTGAGAAAACGAGACATGAATATGGGTTTTTTTTACGGCAGTGGTCTTCTGTTAATATAAAAAGAAGTTCTTGTAAATGAAATTTAAAAAATCTTACCATGCATTTCAAAACACATCACGCCACCAACAAAGACAAAATGGTTTATAAACAATATTGACATAATACATCTGAATAAAAGTTAAATGAAAGGAAGAAATGTTAAGTCATCAAATACACAGCCTAATAATAATGGGTTCTTGTAATGTCACATTGGGAACATGTTCGTTTTCTATTTGAATGTTATAATTAAGACTATGTTACTTTACTGAGATGAAAGTGGTGAAAAACATTTTATTCTATAACCTACTGTTTTGTATAATGCGGTAGCTAGTTCCACATGGAGTTGGATTCCAGTAAAAACCCATGTCGCCTGTTTTTTCCTCTTTAAAACACAAAAGGGTTTGAATCCAGTGTGGTTGTGCAACATCTTAAAGTTCCTTGACACATTCTCATCTGCCTGTACAATCCATCCAATCCAAGGCACATGGGAAAAGTCATTCAAGAGTGTCATCACTGTGTTCAGAGGTTTAACATGAGGACAGCGTACACATAGACTCTGCCGAAAACAGACGAAACATCTTCCAAGACGGGGTTTAGGCAGAAACAAAAAGTGTGTGTACAGCCTATGTTTCAGCCTCTTCTCCTTCATGTGCTGCTGGCCATGGCTTTGTTTGTGCCAAAGTTTGGTTTGGTCCTCTTCAGTGGATGCCCATGTAGCTTCCATCCATGTGAAATCTGTGCAGGCAGTGAGAAAAGAACATGTCAAACTGACTGTAGCTCAACTGTTGGAGTAGTAGTTAAACAAGAAGTGAGTGACTGCTGTTTGTGGAAAAAAAGAAAACTCAGGAATGGAAATGCAATACATCAAAAAGTCCACATTACTTTGTGATGGCATGCAACATGATTTAGGGTTCATGAACGTGTGTTACATTTTAGCCTTGCTAAGCTGCAAGAGTCAGTACACCACTTGTGTCCAGCTTGAAATATGTCAACAAATGGATTGCCATGAAAATGTGCCTTATACTTTTATTGTCCTTGGAAAATAAGGCCTTGTGACTTAAGTGACCCCCTGAACTTTCCTAGAGTTGAAATGTCCAGATATTTAATGATATTTGTTTGTCATTCCTGCTTTATTCCAAGGACTGGATTCAAACTTGGGCCGCTGCAGCTAGGACTCAGTCTTACTGATACTCCCTATACTACCAGGGGTCCTCCTTCAGTGATATTTCTTGACATTCATTTCCCCTTCTAGTTGAATTGCTATTGCTTCAGTGATGCATCAGGGAAAAAAGTGTATATGCCCAACATCTTGGTTTCATGAGCAAATATCTGCAAAATGAATGACAGTCCCTGAGCCTTATTTTGTGTTTAGTGCTAATTAGCAAAAGTTAGCATGCTAAGATAAGATGGTGACCGCAATAAATAGTAGGCCTACATGTTCTGAATAGCATGTTGTATTTGTCCTAATGAGCTAGTTAGTATTACACTCAACACACTGCTCTGCTGAAGCACAGCCACACAGTGCTGCTCACTCTTATTGTTTGATTATGTGATATACAGAACGAAGAGGACATTCCTGAGGGTTGTTTGTCAGGTGAAAGATCATCAACATAATGAGTGGTACATTTTTGTGCAAATGCGATGCTGTGCTGTGATCTCGAAACCACAATATGAAAATGTGGATGACTTGAATAAACAAGCTACAGTACAGGTGACACACGAATGAAGATGGGATGTCAAATGGAGATGACTGGCACCACGACACAAAGCAGTCCGCTGGTCTCACCCTTAAGTGCTAGAAAGGTTGTCTGATGGTTCATCTGTACTAGCGGCCTCAGAGCCAACCACCTCAACTGACTCTGATTTTTTAGGCATTGTTTCAGACACTTTGTTTTCTGGAGGAAATCTGCACACATGAGCATTAATCATAAGTCAAGAGAGAGAGAAAGAAAGAAAGAAAGAAAGAAAGGTCCTCATGATTACATTCTCTACATTTACCTAAATAGTTTCAGGTTACATAAGATAAAACCTCATCACACAGTAATACAATGTGATGTTTATCCAAGGGCAGAGCAGCACACTAAACAAAGGCCTCAAACTGCATCATGCATTACAGGAAACAGGAGAGGAACTGACATCTGTACCTACTGCTAAACATCAACAGGGACAAAAGCAGGCTAATTATTGCATCCTTTAGACACTAACCAGTACTTCTACTTTCATTGCACTAATAATTAAACTAAACATCCCCTTAATTCCTGGTGACTGACTAACTCCCTGTTGCATCCACAGCTCAGTGTGGAAAGTGCATCACTCACCTGCTGTGTGAGGGACTGCGGTTGTACGGAGAAGCCGGCGCTGCAGGGTGTGTGTACTGAGGTGTGTCGGGTGTCTCGTAATCTGTCAGGCCGACTGCCAACTGGTTGCGCCAGTTGCCTGCGCTTTCCACTGAGGACACTGCAAACAAGACACAGGCAAAAACACTCAGCTAATGTTGGAGTTGGGAGTAATTGTTGTTATTGGAAACACTCTTATATCTATCTTTATGTCACCACTGCAAAACAAACTGTTTGCCCTTCACAAGATTCTGCTGCAATATGTCATTACAGTCCTGTGCCTGCCACTTTACATGGAGACTTTACATTTTATGACATAGTGCTAAAACTTGCTTAACTTATTTTTGTTTGTTAGTCCAATATCTTCCAATTTAATTTTTAATAAATGACAAGTTCAATTTGTGCATCTCATATCTGTTTACTTAACTTAATCAGTTTTAATGTGCAGTACACTTAATTATTTTAAATCAAGAAGGTAAGACAAGTTTCTGAAAATATCCTTCTGATAGATACAGTAGATTGTATTAAGCAAATAAACACTATCTCAGCCATGACAGTACGTTTTGATGTTGAATAAAAAGTCGACTAATAGCCCTACCGCATATTTATATTGTGGGCTGGTGGATCAGCAGTATAAACCACCAAGCACTTATCTTTCCTAAAAACAAAGATGATTTTCCTACTGTGACTATGACTGTTCTTGCCTCTAGTGTTTTTCAATTACATTTACACAGTCGCAGTCAAAGACTTAACGTCTTGGCATCCTGGAAAGAGATAAGATAGAACTTTATTGATCCCAATTTGGGAAACTTTTGAACGATAAAAAAGTGAAACTCTCCACTGAAACACACACAATTACAATTGTATTGAGTATGTTAGCTGATTTTTAAGGCAGGAATTTAGATAAGGGAGTATATAGAACAAAAACAAGCATCACGTGCAGGATGCTTACATAGACCCTACTGGCTTGTGTTAAAAAGAAAAAGTAGATATAAATACATTTTTTATGCACTTGAGAAGAGAACAGAAACAGGTTTTATTTCGATAAATATTTTCAATACATGTAAATGTTTTAAACTGCTCAAAGTGATAATCTCACCTGAAGAAAAGGAGGTGGTTCTGCTGGAGTGGCTGAAAGCTGCTGGCATGGTCTGATATCCCAGGCTGAGCTGAGAGCCGCTGTCAAAATCATAAAGCATCCCCCTCCCTCCAACCCCAGGACCCTTGCTTCGGTGGTACCAGCCCTTCAGATGCTCCGCCACCAGGGCCTTCTGCATGTTCTTAGCCAACAGCTCGTTCCTGGGCCCCTCTCTGTTTCGCGGCGGCCTCACTGTAGCGTAGGGATTCTGGGAAATACTATCTGCCCGGTCGCTGCTGTAAGTCCTGTATCTGTCATGTCCGTTATACCCATTTATTTGGTAGGAAGGGTTGACGTTGTAGTGGCCCTCGACGTCATTCTCATACACGTAGGCACCGTTAGCGTAAGGCTCCATGTCCACATAGTAGGCACTGGGTGCATAGTGTGATGAGGTATCACATGAGTAACTAGAACCAGAGGGGTTCTGGACCAAGTTGGGCATACTCCCGGTATTTCCATACACCTCCACCTTCCTGTGGAGACGATGCATGGTTGAGGTTCGGGAGTCGAGCGTACTGTAGTGGGAGTTGGGCGCCCCGCAGTAGTCCAGGCTGGACTGGCTGGTGTAGGACGAACAATCCTCCAACACCTCTGTGCTGTTGCTGCGGTGGGAAGGTGACAAGATAAAAACTGGCTTCTCTGAGTCAGAATCTTTTTTTAGCCGAGGCTGCGACTCCAGACTCCCGCTGCGATGCCTGAAGCAATGAGGAGACCCCTCGGACCTGGAGAAGCAACATCTACAGTTAATGGATAACATTTCTGGATGTATGCATCAAAATAAAGGTTAGGGGTTTGCATGACAGCTTTGGGTAAAGGTTAGAGGGAAGTGGGGATAAGGGTAAGGAAAAAAAGGAAATAAATTGGCGCAGCGGATCACACCTGAGCTGGCTGCTGCTGTAGGCATTGCGGGTCATAACCGGGGTGGGAGGCATGCTGCGTGGATCTCTAAGAGGTCTGGGAAGGGTTTTATATGGACTACTGTGGGTGGAGGAGACCTCTCTTGGATTCTGGTAGTAGTGGGAAGCATCCTGGCCTTCAAAAGCTAGTCTATAAGGGTGTGGAGAGGATAAAAGAAAAAAAAGAAAAGGAAAAAAGGTATGACGTGACGAAAGGAATGAGGCTGCAAACATGACATGGCAAATATTACAGACCCTGCCAAATTGTGATATCATTGCTTTCTTCTAAGAACAGCCTTTCAATTAAATCAAAGGTTGTTAAACAAGTTACACACTTCGCACGAGAGGGAAAGTAAATCCGTTTCCAAACCTGCTGTGATTCTTGTTTAGATGATTTTCCCTCGGAGATCCACGTCTATCTACATCATATTCTATTCCCAGCGATCGCATCGGACTGAGCTGAGGGGAACCCTGGACGGACCGCGAGCGTGGCCTCTGACTGACACCATCCGAGTCATCTGAACACAAAGGAAACCCACTGTTAACAAAACTGACACCCCCTCTTTTAAAAGTAGTCTCAATGATATGTATTATACTAGCAGGTTGATTTTAATGCACCATAATGTGTGTTGTCTGACTCACCATCATCCAGCGGGAGACTAGCCAGCGAGCTGCAGTCTGAACGGACGAGTTCATCTGGAAAAAGAGAAAATAACTCTCTCCATTTACTGTGAATATAACTTAATCATCCGTAACACAGATCAAGCTGCAGCATACCTGCAATGATCAGCGAGGCCCGCTGCGTGGGCTTTTTCCCCTTCTTGATGCGGTACTGGTTCATCTCATCCTCGATCTGCTGGAGTTTGTGCATGGCATCCAAACAGTTTCTCCTCCTCTTCTTCTTCACAGTTTTGCACAGTTCTCCTTCATTAGCGAGCTTCTTGGCCGCCTCCACAATCTTCTGCTGCAGCGCAAACCTGCTCTCCAGGTTCCTCAGAATGGGATCCTGCAGCAAATCCCGAAAGATAACAATGAGTAAATCATAGTTTAACCACACTACTACTGTCAACTTTTTTTTTATCCTATTCATTTAAAATGGGTTCAAAAGTTAATCAGATTAGGTCTCCATGTCAAGTTGAGGTGAAGACCTTAATTAGTAATTTCTTAAAGTTGACGTTATTTATGAACATTTTTCTTATTACTATAGATGCAATAATGTCATGTCGAGCAAATTAGTAGATTTGAGAATTTAAGGGGCAAGGCAGGTGCTTTGAACATTTTATAAATGTCAAAAAATGTAATAAGGAGACTTAAATTAACATTGCTCCAAGTACTTATCTTTTAAAAAATGGATACAAAAAGAAAATATAATTACAATTTTACGAGAATATAACATAATTTCCTTAAACAGTTGGAGCAAATGTTACTTAAAAAAAATGTTCTGCTGTAAATGTTGGGGTGCAAGCAAGTATTTGCAGCACCAGAACAGTGCAGCATTGCTCATGAATGCAGTTGTAATCGTTAATAGACAACAACTTCGCACCATGGCAAAGAGGAATAAGATATATCAAGTAGAATAGTTAATTGTTAATAAATTCATTGTTAGTTGTGATCATTTTGTTGGATTGTTGACAACTAAATACAAGTAAAATATCACCAAGTTCATCCTTTAAAGTCAAATGTATCATATAGACAAAACTGTTACTGACCTCATTGTAGGGGAACAGGTCATCCAATTTGAAAGCAGTGCCAACTCGCCGTCTGACCTGTGGCGGTCTTTCTCCTGAAGAGAGGGGATACTCTTTCGGCAGCTTGCCAGTGATCTCCTGAAAAACACAAACAACAAGTTCCCTTAAATACTTACAACACATTGAACTGAGTGTAACAGCAGAAAGCATCGATCTTAATAAGGGGAGAAAATGGATATGGTTGTTTAGAAAAGCGTGTATGTGCCTTGTTAAATGTAGCACCAGTGCAGAAGAAGTGTTATACAAAATGATTTCTCACCGCCTCTCTCAAGCAAATCTTCTTCAGTTCTTTTGTTTTCTTGGACAGAATATCTTGGATCTCCTGCTCTTTTTTCCTCAGATCAGAGAGTTTCTCTTTCTTCTGTTCTTCACTCATTTCAGAGTCTGCAGAACCTGTGAAAACAATATCCTTACTATTCCTGCAAACATGAAGCTTACATCTGAAAATAACCTTTATGTCATGACACTGTGAGCTGACTTTTTAATATAACACCTTTACTTTTTAAAATCAGAGATACCTGGGAGCATGGATATGATCTGAGATGATAATAATAATTTTGGTTAAACAAACATGAACTTAATAGACCCTTGCTTCATGAAGTGATATAATTACCAACCTGTAGACACCAGGCTGCCATTGCTGGCTGTTATTAAGGTTTTGTTCAGGCCTGCGTCTCCCAGTCTGTTGATTTTCGCTCCTCCGTGCTCCGTGAGATCCATGGCAATTTCCTCCACACTTCTGGCTGTTACTAATTTACCCTAAAAGAATAAAAAAGATAAGATAGTACTTTATTGATCCCAATTTGGGAAATGTTTGTGTTGCAGCAGCATAAAAAGACATGGCATTGTACAATAAAAATTAAAAGACAAGAAATAAACAAGAAAGTAGAAAATATACATATGCACCATAATGTATATTTGCACACAGAGTTTGCACCAAAGATTAGAGCCACAAATTGAAAGTAATTTTCAAATGTAATGAAGCAGTGACTGATGAATGACACTAACCTTGCTTTGCTTTCTGTCCAGGTAGAACTGGTGCTGGCTAATAGCCATGACCCATATGGTTTTGATCAAAGAATGGCTGGCATACCACGTGTGGATGAGTAGGCCCGTCTGCCCAAAGGTGCGCTTGGTTACTGCTCTCCTGTTGCAAGAAACACACCGGAAGAGGATTGAAGGTTGAGATTTTTTAACCAAATGTAACTAGAAGTAACATGAATATGACTGATCTCTTTAGATGCAGCTGAAGAGAAACACCTAATAAGAGACTAAACAAATGTAGGCAAAACAAGTGAATATTTGACTAAAAGCAGGTTAACAAAGAACTATCTCTCCTAATGCTTACCTGTGTGGATCATTAACTTCTACGGCAAATTTCTTCTCCCGGAAGTACAAGTTTTCCAGCTGCTTCCACTGATAAAGCTGGGGGTGAAAATACAAAATATCTCATTAGGAAAATGGAAGATATGCTCGCCTCGGTAGTTCTCAAACTGAAATGTAGAGGAGTGGGTAAGGTACAATGGCTTTAAAATGTATCTTTTTGTGCCCTAAGTCCTGGTGAATATTCATATTTTATTTCTAAACAATCAGTAGCATTACTGCAATAAAACTGTTAGAAAGACTAGTGAATGCAGGTGTTTTCGCTCAGCCACAATCATTTAAAAAGCCAGACTGTAATATGAACTGTCATTACGGTCTGTGCCTCCTGGCATGCACAGTCTGCAATAATGCAGGTGTTAGACAGCAAAGAATGCCACAAGGGGACATTAGGCAAAGACTCATCGCAGTATACAGCACTTTCCATGGCTCATCGCGTCTATCCCTGTATAACCCAGGTGTTCCCTGAACACAGCCAGATATGAACAGCCTGTTTGGGTCAGTGACTCACTGTGTGTCTGGGAAATTAAACACTACCAGCACGTAGAAAACAATACAACATGTGGCTGCTTTGAGAAGTATATTGTATCACAATGCTGCTACATGCTAAACACGCAGTAACAATTTACAAAAATTCAGTGTTACTATTAGAATTTGAAAGATTGACTGTTGATTCAATATTTAAATGACCATACAAATGTTATTTTAAGAAAAGCTCAGTCTATTTGCAGTACTACTTTAAACCCGGCAAAGAAGTATGCAGACTTACCAGAAAAACAGTCCTGTTTAAGTTATTAAATCCTTTGCTGTCAACACAAACACACACTTTGTTCCCTACTCCTTGTCAGCTCCTGACTTGTCTCCTCAGGTATTCTCAGAGCATGCATTATAACGCCTCATATCCTGCCCCTTTCCCTTTGACATCACCAACTCACTCCCTCCTCTTCTCTTCAAAGCACACACCGCTGCCTGCACACAGCTTGCACAATTATTTGGAAGAAGACAAAAATGGATTGCACCATGTCGAGCGATTACCAGACATGAACAGGAAGACAGTGCTAGTAGATTCATGTGAATTGTTTGGAACTTTCCTCCACTTCTGCTTTGCTGCACCCTGCAGATACCGGAGTAACAAAATGGACATAGCAGATAGATCCCTCACATGGGTGTTTCTGCTATAAGCTAACATGCTAAAACGACACCAATGTAACGAGAAAAGCAGGTTCTTAGTATGAATCTCACACTTTATGCAAAAAGACTCATTAAAACAAACGGCCAGAGATCTCTAGATTTTGCCGCAATTGTTCAAGTCTGGCCTCGTCTGCCGCAGCAGCTGAAGCCAATCCTTTGTTGGGGTAAAATAGATGATGCATGAATTTAGAGCCAGTGAATCACCAGGCTCAGCAGCAGAGCTTACCCCTGTGCTATCATGTCCACAGTCAGATCAGTGAAGCAGAGGAAAAGGAAAGCAGCCATTTTAGAGATGGAGCAGCAGGGAATGTTTACCTTTCGAGGTTTCAATTTATCCTGCAGGTCATACTGGCCGATGCCCTTATAGCTGATTCCAAGCCACCACGGGATCCCTTGTTTATCCTGTGAGGCAAGAGCACAGCTTGATGGTTGACTCAGTTTCAAGTGCAACAGCTGTCATTTCCCATTCATCACGGCGGAAGACTTACCTTCACTTCATAATAATGCACGCCATACGTGGGCAACGATTCCACTAACGTCAGATACCTAGAACAAAAACAATTGATGTTAAAAGCACAGGCTAGAACAGCTGCATGGGGTTTACTTAGGACATGTAAAACGAAACTGGGTGTTTGACCTCAGTCCAGTGAATCAGTGTGATTCACTGAAGAGGAGCTATTGATTTCTATCAGATGATGAGAAAAGGAGTGCCGGAGAGACACGGAGAGAAGGGGGGCGCTAATAGAGGTGAGGGGAAGATTAATGAACTTAAAGCCGAATACATCCATCATCTAATCACTGGTGTTGAACCATTTGCAGTAAATACACATTTTTCTTCAGTACTTACTGAACAATGGCCTTTCCTCGGGAGACTCCTTTCAGCTGTTTATAATGTTCGATTACGCGATCCTCACTGTCACAAAAAAACAACACAATTTCACACTTTAAACAGATGTAGCCCCGTAACTGACAACATGCAAAACGGTGGTCAGAAAATATAACTGAATACATCGATAAACAATATAGTTAGTTAAATAGATTAAAACAAGATTTATACATTTGACCAAACTCAAATCAGTTTTTTACAAAGATAATTAACGTTTTTTTAATTAAAATGTTCCCCTTTACCACCAATCCATCAATACATTGAAATCATACTTATTTGGTCACAAATAAAGTAAAATACTACATTAATCCCAGGGGGAAATTAGGTTTTAATGAAACAGTGCAATAAAAGTCCTTGTAGCAGTCCTACATTTATCTTGCTTATCATATATTTTATCTCCTCTGAATTATTTGTTGTCTTGCCTCACACTGTGTGTAGAGGACTGTTTGGCTAGCTGGCTTACGTTAAACCCTACTAATTAAACACACTTTCAGCTAGTTAGCTCAATGAAGTTTACTTCCTCCATAAAACTGAACCTGCCACTGCATGTAATGTTAATCATCCATACACTTATTGCTTTAGTGATGAAGTGTAATCTACAGGCCTGCAATAAAAGACATTGTTATAGGCAAGATATCAAATAAGCTTTTCAAAAAAGCGTACCAGTATGCAAACGACGGATGTTCCTTGAGGACTTTGGTGGGAAGAGTTGGTAGCTTCTTCAGTTCAGCTCTTGTGCTTTCATCACTAAAACAGAGAAGACAAATAGTTGTGAAAACTATTTGGGAAGTTGAGTGGACAATCCCTGTTTTTCCACATTTCTTTGTCAGGAAAGTAGGCCATAACCTGTAATGTATGTAACCTACTGTAGCACATGTTAAGTGATTATATTAATATTCTGCAACTTTAAAACTTCTACTTCACTATATTTCAGAAGAGATGTGTGAGCTTTTGCCTTCAGTGCATTTATCTGACAGCTGGAGTTACTTTAAATAATATGAAAGGGCTAAGAATAACCGCCCAATATAGTAGATCAAATAATCTCTACTTGGAAACAGCTGCACCAACACTAGGATCCAATCTGCACAAGGAGCACTTTTAGTATTTGATACTGTATTCTCACACTGTGGTATTGCCACCTTTTTTAAGTAAATGATCAGAATACTTTTCCCACCACAATCAATTACATGTGAGGTACATTTCACTCTCTACATTGCCAGGAATATCCTTTTAGTACGGCACTAGTTAGTCCTTTACTTTCTTTGGCTAAGCAGCACTGGAATGCAAATATAAGTCAAAAAGCTTTGGTTTAAATAAGAAGGCTTTAAAATCTATTTAAAATCCCAAAGGTAACACACAACCTCAGTTTCCCTAATGGCACTGGGCTCAGGCCTGGCAGCAACCATATCAAAGAATCTACTCATATGAACAAAGATGTCTGTTTTCCTAAATTACTGCATCAGCTGGTCAGAGCCAGGTGGCGACCTGCACAAAGACCTGCAGTATTCCCTCTGAGCACTACACGTGTAATATCAGCACAGATGGTAGCTGCTCTCTGCAATTTAAAGCCGTCGCTGCTCTGCAATACATGGCTTCTATCAGCACTATGATATTCATTAGCTGCACGGTGCAATCTTCTTAGCAGTCTGTGGTAAACCTCACATAACACTGCTATTGATTTCTGCTGTGACGATTGAATGCCTTCGCTAAGAGCTCTCTATTAACATGTCCTGCTGCTGTTAAATACCTCTTGCCCAGCTGAGAGTATGCACTTACCTTGTGTAGTCCCCCTTCGCCTCCTAGAGATAAATAAATACATCTTATCAGATAAAGGGATAAAAGATGTGGCAATTAATGTATGTATGAGACTATTAAAAGCACTAACCTGCAAAGCATTTGCGGCTAATTTGAAGACGTTCTCACTCTCCACCTCTATAATCCCCTGAGAGACAAAATAGATCGATATGGAAAAATTTTAACAGGATGGAGACAATGAAGTCCATGTGGAGAAATCTTTCTCAATCCAAACATAGAACATTTTCTCTGTTGCACAACATGAAACTCAGCTTATTCTCAAATTGAAACATTGTGTCTTTTTTTTCTTTCTGTGTAGTTTACATTCCAGGCAGCAGAGTTAACAAACCGTGCCCTGCAGCTATTGTCTGATGAGTTGCGAGGGTCCACAGACAGTGAATCATCGGAGAGCTAAAACGCAACTAGCAGCGTCTATTTCATGGCTTCACAAACAAGAGGTAAACACTTACGTTGTAGACGGCAGATTTTGCATTCAGGAAGAATAACTCCACCGTGGTGATGTCCTTAAGCTGTGTGATGCTTTCTAGATAGAACCTGCGGAGGATAAAAGCAGAACAATTTAAAAGGTTAAACAGAGATAATGGGTGTTATTGCTGCTTAATATAGAAAATCACAATTTGAACTTTACCATGCCTAGTGAATGTGTTTGTGTGATGTAGCTATTTTGCACACTTTTGTAATGTATAGATTTTCCTATGTCTATTTTTTATGTTTTAGTAGGAGATTGGTTTATTATAGAGTAATCTAGTTTATTCTGTATTTTTCATATTGTGTATTCATGTTTAGATACTCCATTGATGCATAACTTTTCTGCTGTTGATATGTACTGTATATATTACTGTCTAGTGAACCTTCTGCTGAAGTGATAAAACAATTTGAATAAAGATTATTTAATCTAATCTGATGTGTGTGAGGTGTGGGTGAGAGTGAGGATTTATAATCACGTGCAAAAGATTGACAATTACCAATGTCAATGTTTTTAAAACCCGAGTTTGACAATCATGACAGACAGGACATTGTGTTGAGAGCTCACAGCTTTACTCCACGTTAACAACATAGTGCTCCCTGCTGGAGATCATGTGATTTGCATAAGAAAAGTCAATTATTACCTGACCAGGAAGTTGAGGGCAATGGGCCCAGACTTCTTGGAAAAGTCATGTTCAAGAACTCTGCGGTCCATCTGCAACCATTTACGCTGCCCACTGCAAAAGTCAAACAGACGGAAGAATCGGAAAGCATTAAACACACACGCACATATGGACATCTGTAAATATTCAGACCATTGAAAAGAAATGTAGGCAATAATTCACATACTTGTCATCACAAAATGCAATTCCAAAGAACTCCTTCTCTTTGAGGTTGAAGTGTGAGGACACCAGGTCGAGGAGTTCGTACGACAGCAGCCTTTGCTGTGGAGGAAGATTTAGATTTAGTAGGATACCTAATGTAATTCAAAATATTAGGTAAGCATCCTGAGTACAAATGATTTGATACAGGTGACGTGAATACTTGAGGAAATAATTTTCTCTGTTGCTTGCTTCCGTCTAAAGAGAAGTGAGACTGGAAGATTAACTAGGGTGCAGACAATAGCAAAGAAATTGAGGATGTAGTGTTATGTTCAAGGACACTTCAACAGCGCACATACCTACGATTTGCTGTAGAATGATCATTATATACGCTAACTGATCATGTTGCCCACATATATTGTTTGTGAGGTTTGGCAACACTACACTATAGAAACAAATAACGTTTTTTATTATCGATTAAAAAAAAATCGTTGAAGTTGCAGAACGCAGCAAAACAGTTGCTAATTTTCACATTCATTTTGGTGATCTCGGGATACCTGATGAATTAAGTTCAATATTCTGTGCTCTTATCTGTGGTTTGGTTTCCACCAACTCTTGAGGGAAGTATCTGGCGTTTTAGTTACAAAACACTCAGTATGTTAACATACTGTCTGGGTCTGAGCAGGTAGTGTAACGTTGTTTTTATAGCTTGTTGCTCATAAAAAACCAACAAAAAGCAACGCTATGAGAACAGAGAGAATGAACATGTTACTTGTTAGACGCTTTTATCCAAAGCGACTTACATACTCAATACTGTGGACAATCCCCACAGGAGCAATTTGGGGTGAAGTGTCTTGCTCAGGGACACAACGACATGCTGACTGCAGTGGGGTTTGAACCTGTGACCCCCTGATCCCAACACCAAGGCTCTATCCACTGCGCCACACACCTCACACCTCATAACAGCAGAGTTGCGGACATACGTTTTTTTTTTTTTTAATTAGATAAAACATGCTGATTAGAGTTTAGGGGAACTGGGTTTATAAAAACCAGAAACCATTTTCACATTACGCATTATCATCATTTGATCAGTTGTTAAACCTTTGATTATAACCTCTTTAAGTAAGGAGCATCATACCTGAACCAGCAGCTCCAGCTTCCTGTCCTCCAGCAGCTGCACTTGGCACAGTCTGCCCTCGGTCATCTGCAGGGGAGAGGAAGAGGAAGCTCAAATCTTGTGACACAGATTGCAGACGATTCCTCATCACAAGGCAAAATGACATACGGTCCCGAGTGTTGGTTATGTTTTGTTTTTTTAAAGCTGTCCGATACATATCAGGCCTTAGCCGGTTTCTTACACTTAAATATCTGTCCAAGAGTTAATTTTCACTATCAGTAGCCAAACTGAGCAAAGTCCTTGGTGGTAAATACAGAAAAGAAAGAAAACCACTTATGTTGTTGGTGACAATAAAACCTTTGTCTTAAGGATTTGGTGCCGTAGCAACCAGAGAAAGGATTTATACAGTTTTGAACCTTTCACATTTAACTTTGAGTCTTTCCGTCTGTCAAGCTGTTCAGTAATTCAAAGAAATATCCAGTATATGAAAGTACATTTCTTGCACTGTACTAAACACAGCACTTTATACTTTCACTGCACATACATTTCAGTGGGAAACATTGTACATTTTGATCAACTTAATTTGATAGCTTTACTTTGAATATGAATTCCTACACATTAAACTACCCAAAGATATATAATGTTCTCCTCCAACAGCTCAGAAATTAAAATACTGGTCAGACATGAATGCAATCATCACAGTCATATAATTATATAATATATAGTCACATAACATTTTCTAAATGATTAGGACATTTACTTTTGATACTAGAGTACATTTGATAGAAATACACATTTCACATAAATACGATTTTAAAAAACAGGACTCTTGTAACGGAGTACTTCTGTGACCATGGCTAATATCTTCATAATTGCAAAGTTTACACTCTTTTCTTTTAACATTTATACAACAAGATCCACAGCATTACTGCGTAAGGGCCCAAACCACACAACCTCAGATTCTGACTAAACTCTGCATCGATGAGAGCCAGTTCTCTGTAACTCGTACCCACAAGATGAAGAAGCAAGAAGCTTTCCTGTTTGCTTGTGCAAGATATTTCTGACCACAGTGCCCTTCACACAACGATTTTCATCACAGATTCAGCCTGACTTCTAAGACACTCAGTCTGCACTATAAATCAAATAGCCAGGGAAAGAAAATGACAGATTGAGGCTGAAGCAGTTTTTCAAAACAAAGAACCTACTCACAAACTAAAAAGAAACAATTCAGACAGATTTAAAAAGCCTTTTCATGTGACAGAATGAGGCTGATCACAACTTATTGGAGAGCACGGGGCGGCTGCTGTACCTGGTAAACCTCTCCAGGGAAAGAGAGAGTGCAGGTGTGGACGCATCCCTGACCAAAACTCATCCTTTTACAAGAGTCACCTCTCCGGTCCAGATTATTAGTGGCACCAGACGATCAGGATTAAACAGCAACTTGTTCAATGCAGTTCATTAACTGAGCAGCCAGGCCCTAGCTTTGAGCAGCAGTGGATTATTTAATGTTATGAGAAATCAACAGCTGACTGAATAAGGGCAGGCAGGATCAGACTGCTTACCACACTGTAGGATTTACTGCTTCTTAATATGAACAATGGAGGTCAGACAGGAAACATAAGCGGTCAATATAAGGTGGTTAAGTATATGCTACTGAGTTTACTGAGACATTTAAGATGCTTCGATCACTTGTGTGCTGATCTGTGGCTAAATTGAGTTTGAATCTGGGTATCAGGTGTCTCTGACTTCCTCCTCCTGAGGCACTAAAGTGATTGAAACAACTCAAAGAGGCTTTACTCTACATACACTCTACTTCCCATTTATCTATTTCTCACCTCGCACTAATAATCGATTAAACAAATTGCCCTGCTTCCTGACTGGGATGTGACACACCCCGTCACTTCTTTAAATTAAACCATCTGTAATCTTTTAGCGAGCACTTTGTCAATTACAACCTCTGAATGATGCATCTTTCTTTTCACAACAGTCGTAAATTCTCTTTCATGATGTAAATTAAAGGTGAACATTCAATGAGTTCAATTCATTTGGAGTGTTGCTGCTGCTCACAATCACCAGGAGTATTATTACATTGATTTGAGCTTGATTTAGTCATGACTGCATCATGGTGGGGTCACACTATACGTCTCTGTAATAAGCATGACATGGCTCTGGCCTGGCATGTACAGTAAATATATTGGCCACTAGATGGTGCCGGGATTATTGTTTTTTTCTATATGGAGAAGTTGTTCATATGGAGAAAATGGCCTCTTAAAGGTGGGGTAGGTAATTCACTTCAGAAACACTTTTTGTTATATCCCATGGAATGCTCTTAACATCCCGATAGCAATGAATATATTAAATGCTTTGACAATAAATACATAAAAAAATGTCATCTGTGGAAGCCGTAGTACTGTAAAAAGCACGACCAATCATCTGAGCCGGCCCAGCTAAAATAACTGGATGGCCTACCTGCCTGTCAGCCTTCCATCTCGTGCACAAACGTATCTCGTGCCCTCATTGGTCATGTGCACGTTCGTGTGTGTTGGAAATTTCAAATTCTAGCGCACTCAAGCTGGTTTCTCCATTCTTACCTACCCTACCTTTAAGTAAGCTTGCCCCATTGAGGAATTTCCAAAAGCAGTTATTAGCTCAGATTCAGCTGGGATGAGTTGTACATGCAATATAGATGAAGTGAGTGGAAGGAGGGGCCGAGCTTTTTAGAAATCTACCCTATTAATCATCTGAGGGCTATAATCATTACAAGAACTGCTATTTATATCTGACACAGCAACCCAGCAACCCTCCCTAACCCTGCTGCTCCTCTGTCACAACACAGCCGCCACTACAGGCTGTGATTTAAAACTGGCAGTATAATAAAGACACAATAATTACAAACTAGAACACACAAGATGAAACCTATGATTATGTTTAAATCGATTCAAGGTATAGTGAAACGGGCTGGAAACACCTCTAGAAATAGCTTGCTGAAACAAGACTGTGACTTTATATTTATAGCAACATATCACACAGCAAACATTTTTCTCAGGGGGCTTTACAGTGTATACAGCATACACCACCCTCTGTCCTTAGACCATGGCAGCATACAAGGAAGAACTCCCAAGAAACCCGAAAACATGTATGGGGAACATGGAAGAAGCCGCAGGGAGAGCAACTGAGGAGGGATACCTCTCCCAGAACGTACAGCAATAGGTGTCGTGTGCATAGATTAAAAAGACAATAAAACTACAACACAGACAATCCAAATGTAAAAAATTATAATGTGAATGTAGAGAAGGAAAAAAAGGCAGGTGGATGTCAATGATCTTTTAGTTGCCGCTAAATAAAACAAAATGGGCGTCAAGCAGAACCACAGCCAATCATCACACTGGACCTAGCAAATATTTGGTATGTTTTCATGTAAGGTGTCAAAATAGTTGCTTTCTATTGATCGATTGGTCTACTATTCGTTGCAGCTCTTCTAATTATTGCTTAAAATCTACATTTGTCATCTCCTGATGTACTTGTATTGGTCACAGCACAGCAGACAGCACTGGTTACTCAACCAAACACAACCTATTCAACCTGAATCAAAAGGGCAGCCTTGGACCCTGTGGGGTTAAGACGAGCATTGAACCTTCATGAAAAAGAGACATGGAGGGTGGAGATGAAAGAGCTGTCAGTCTCTGTGATTGTTTCTCCAGAGACGCTGCAGGGTGCTGGTCCGTCTCTGGTCTGCAGCCTGAGGTTGGCGTATAGACAGCTTGTTATGCTGTACAGTCAAATATCCCAATGGAGATTTGGGGAAAGTGCAGATGTGGCCCCCTTAAAAAAAGAAACAAGGAGTATTCATGTTCATTAAAGCTTAGCCTGGTACTATGTGGAGATGTTAATCCTACAAAAAGCACAATGTTCATTTCCATTTCATGAGAAATAGCACCCAATCAAGCTTGGAGTTGTCCATGAGCTAACAGGAGGATTTCTCTGTCTGCTGAGTAAACTGGCTGTCAGTGTTTAATACGTCACGCTGGTTAAATGTCATGTCCAGACTGCAGTCCGTCTTATCTCAGTTTCCCGTCTTCATGCATTATTGATGAAGCTGGTATCACACACACAAGTCAGTGTCTGCTTCTCCATGCTTACATGTTCTTTGCACGACATTCTCAGCAATCACAAAAAGATGCAAAGTATTCCAGTTTGTAAATTCCCAAGCAATTATTCTTAACAATTTTGACAAGATAAAATGATAAACTCAACGATTAATAGATTGCGGCTGAATCAGACCATTGTCCAAACAGAAGAAGCCCATAGAAAGACAAATAAAAACCTTTTAACTCCATAACAGGATATGATACTCAATACAATGTTGATCAAGGGAAACATACGTTCTGTGTTTTGGTCACATGAGATATTACAGTTCTTCTTCAATGTTGTAATGATAGCTGACCTCTGCCCCTGACAGGGTGATTAATGACGACAATAATGGTTCAAAGAGGTTATTTTTTTTATCTTGATTCAACTGAAATCCTCATTTTGTTTTTGGTCTCACATTGAAGCAAGAACATGTTAGCTCTCTTAAAAGAAGCCCAAGGACAGGATGCTTGATTAGTAGGCGTATTGGCAGTCCAGAAATAATAAATAAAACACCAAAGGCAGGAGTGCTCAGAACAGCGAGTACACAGCGAGAAGCCCTGGTTACAGAGGCTGTGGGCTGAAGGAAACAGCACAGGTTTATCTGAAACCGCATCTGATATCTCATCATGACTCATGTTGTCAGCGGTCAAAAGGTATCAGTCTAGAATCATCTCCTTAAAAAGAGAACCAGACTGTCCGTTTGTGATATCCGGTAAATACGTGCTAGCAATGAGGCTAAGGATATTATGGAGAAATTAAAACCTGAAAGAAATATTAATTTAGTTTTTATAACAAGGTATCTCGGTGAATCAAGGGCGGGCATCACAGAGGAGTGATTCATGCGAATGATGTCATCATGCAGTTCTTATTCACACCCCAGAAAAAGGACGTCCACAAAAACCCTAGGACATTGTGATATATTTTGTCATGGCTGTCCTACAACTGCAAGACCATAATATTTTATCAGCAGCCATTGTGACAGTAGTGGTCAAATCTGCTTCTTTCAGCCTCTGGAGGGTCGTACTCCTAGTAGTATAAAAAGCTAAATAAGAACAAATGTTCAAGGCAGCCTAAACGATTGTTTAAGGAAAGTTAAAGCTCCCATCCCTATGTGTTTTTCTTCTGAGCTGCACAGTGTTTGAAGTCACCGAATTTGGGCTGCTGTCGTAAGAAATGGCTTTGAGCGATTGTGAATGTGTTTAAACAAGATAAATAATCAAGGAAAGGGAAAGATGTGTGTATTTTAATTCAAGCAGCTAAGAATTAAACACATCTAAGTGTCAGTACAATCTTGATCAATCTGTAAAGGTGTTTGCAGGGAAATTCAAAATGTAGGATCTTGACCCAGATCAACATTTCTAATAAACAAGACTAACACATTAAAGCCATATGTGAGGCTGTACTTTGAGACAGCAACGCACAATGCTAAGATGCTAACAGTGACAACTTTGACATCCTCTCAGCTATCAGGTATAACTACTACAGGAATCCGAGTTGGGTGTCATCAAAGGAGATCATGGCAGCAAAGGAGATTTTTCTCTTAAACCAGTCTATATCCGGAAAAAAAACTCTCCAACTTGATTGATCAAAGTTCTTAAAGATTAAGAGGCTTGGGTTACAGATTTAAGAGTTCAAAACAGTCTAACTGCAGCATCACAGCGCAGAATTTAAATTCCTTGAAAGCAGTAGAGAATGATTCAAAACACACACACTAGTCTAAAAGCAATCACAAGAGCTTTGCCACCAGTTGCCCTCATTCTCTAGGTTTCACAGCTGTCCCCACTCACACTCCTGATATTACAGAACTGCAGCGTTTCATTACAGAGAACTGCAGTGACTTTCTGCAGAGCTGAGGCACTGAGGCACTGAGGCACGGACGTGAATGGGTGGAGAAAATGGAACAGGACCAAATTTCAAGATCTGGACGAAGTGTGTCTGCAGCCTAGTGAAAAACACCATAAGGATATTAAGGAATGTAATGAATGTACATGTATTGCCTTTACCTTAATCATATCTTAAGGATCAGCTGATATGTTGAAACTGGATTCCCCAGATTCTCAGGTAGGCTGCACAAGACTAAAAGTTATAACCACAAACCCTCACCTGCCAACCTGTTTCACTCCATTGCTCGGCTTTCATCTTATCATATATATCAGATTTATTCCCTCTGAGTAAAGTGTATGACTACACGATTACTTGCCTGTCCAAAAATAGATCTCTCTCTCCCTCACCGTCTTTAGCACATTTCTCAGAGAGTCTCAGGAGGCTTTGATTCCTATATGGACGTTTGCCAACTGAAGATATTTTTCAGCAGCATCAGACACCTGTCTCTTTAGGCTATCAAACTGACAAGAGGAGTGTGTCCATAAGAAGTATATTGAGTTGGGTGCTGAGATTTGGCTGTCTACTGAAGGAATTAGCCAGAAACTGAACATTGATGACCCTAAAAGAGTCAGAAAATTCCCATAAAAAAGTTGACGTGTGTGATAAATGCTACAGGACATCCCCTCGGACACACAGTGACAAAGTTTCACGCTGTCTGTCATACAGGCACACAACAATTCCTGTTTACAATGCTTTAAATACACACAGACAAGAGTCTCTTCCTTCAACTGAGAGATAACATCAGGAGGTCAGTGTCAACCTCTGCAGGGCTCATCCTTGTTTTTACCAAAGGAATACAAATGGATATGCAGAATCTGCCAGAACAATGCAGTTAACATTCAAATCATGGAGGTAAAAAGGGAGGATACCTTTGCCTATTAAAACTATTGCAACTATGCTCTTGTATGACATGGCTAAAAATGCTTGGCCTTGATCACCAGTAGTCACAAATCACATACAAAATAGGAAAATGGAAATGATAAAACATCAGAAACATAAATATTAGGTAATGCTTTGGCCAGGCTTTTTTTTCACATATTCACCATGTCACTCTACCTAAACCAGCGTCTTATTCAACCTGCATCCCCATATCAGACCAGTCAAATAGCTTATAAAACTACTTTTTCTTTCACTTAATCACATTTAATAATCCCATCTAACATCACTACCCACATTATCACTGTTAAATACAAGCAGTATTGTCCACAGCATCCCTTAATGAGACTAGCCCACCTCAGGGCCAGCTTCCACTGTGCAGGGAGAACAATGAATGTGCTATGGGCTACTGTATAAGGGTGGTTTCCACCTGAGCCCCATGACTATAACAGATATGTCAAATAAAGCCTCACTTCTCTACGTTTTACTGAGGAAAAACGCCGGTCGCTGCAGAGAGCCAAACCCAATGTAATTTTCATTCATGCTCCCTCCCCGGTTCACATGCGTCCATGACTCGGTCTACTTTGTCTCCCCTCAGCTCAGTGGGGCGGGTTGAATCAGCTCCATCACATCATATATATATCGCCTTACCTTTGCACTCCTTGTATCCGGTTTATGTATTGATAAGATATCTCTTCCCCTGCATATTGATCTCTCCACGTTCAGCTTTCTCCCCAGCTGCTTTTGCCGGGGAGGGGAGCCGCCGTGCAGCCGCTGTCCATGTTCATCCTCCGGTACTACTGTAGCGCACACACTCGTATTGAGCCACACTCACCACGCCTTCACCCGCCGGCTATTATGTGAACAAGCCCCGCATCCCCTCCCTCCCTCCCTCCTTCCCTCCCTAGCTCCCTCCTTCCCTCCCTCTGCCTCTCATCCAGCAGCTGCCGGCCGGCCTGAATCTCACTGAATCCTCATAATAATGAATCATGAGGGGCTAAAGGCGGCGCCGCATCCCCATATAATATAATACACTACATGTACACAATATATTGTATTGAACAGTTTTATTTGTCTTATGACAGGCCTAAATATTGGCTCCTTGTTTCCTCTGATCAATAGTGACCTTTAAGTGGATTTTGTGGTCTCTGAATTTTCTACAAAGGTTATTTGGGGGCATTGGCCTATGTCTGTTGCACTCAATATTTAATTTCTGTAATCCTTGTTGAATCATATAACATCAGTTTATTGGTTATGTGGATGCTTATTGGTTGCTCCCATGACAACTTATTAAAAAATATAAGCTTCTGTATAATTAAAAAATGATTACAATGTCACCATTACACACAACCCAATACAATGATGTCAAAGCCAACCATATGACAGGCAAACAAATAGGAAACACAAGATTGGATCAACAAACAACAATAAAGAAGGAATTGCTTTAGATTGCACCCCCCAAATGACTTTGTAATTAGTGTAGACAGAGTTTTCATTAAAATACTTATTGGCCACCATAATCTATTGTATGTACAAGAAAAGAAGAGGAAAGTTTGAGGAAAAAGAAGGTTAGAAGAGTCCTAGCCTTACTTTAAATTGAACAATTACAGGCTATTATTATTGGGTAGCAAGGCAGGGAAAATGGAAGCGGTGTCGATTTTCAGGCTAAATCTTTTTGTTTTCTTACTTTTTCAAAATTATGTGTTCACAAAATGACTTTGGGAATGTCTTGCAACATTTAAGTTTTATTTTATTTGGTTTATAGGACCTACATTTGTACAATTACTGCAAGTACATACAGAAAATCAACCTCAGTGCTCTAGTATATTACATTATTTGACCTATATCTCTTGAAGATGTATTATGAAGTTTGTATGAAGTTGTGTTTACTTTAGGTAATTAAGGCTAAAGGGGATTTCCAAAAATTGAGCTAACAGGTAATTTTATGTATGTTTGAGCCTTCCTGGATGCACAGTATTTGCATAAAGGATTTTCCTTTCCTTACTATTGACCCGTGTCAATAAACAGGATATAAGTGATAAAAATGTGAGCTGCTGAGGATTTAGCGTGTGAGATAACGGACAAAACACAGGAAATGGTAACCATTGATGCTTCAAACATGATTTTATCACAATGTGTATGACGATTAACACCATCTGGAAGAAAATCACTATTCATAAATGAACATTGAAAATGAGTGACAAATGAAATTATTTGATGCATTTCCCTGACTCAAAGGCTGATTTTCCACATGTTTATGTGCCAAAAAACACAGCCATTTTTAATAAGGCTTTACAGCTTTAACCTCAGTTGCCCTAAATTGAAATATGGGTCAAAGTCAACATTTAGTTTACAGGAGGATGTTAACATGTTGTTCGTTAGCATATTTAATAAAAAATCTGTTTTAAAAATGACTGTTAACACCATACTGTGCAGAGGATATATGCAGAATAAACTAAAAATACAAGTTTGGTGGCTGTTATCTTGCTTCCAGGTAAATTATTAAGGAAATATATCGTTCCACATCATTAAACATCTTTGACTCATGCAATCTAAAAGACACAATACTATAGAAGCAACCCATTGGTGTGTGTTTCACATGTGATATTCATTTCAGCTGAGGAGTGACGGAGCCTCTAAAATATTCATCACAAGAATTTACTCTTTACTCCTCTGGTAATTGCCTAAAGAAGCAAGCACACTCACTCGTTAAAGTCCCTGAAACAACATTTAATTATGTTGCGCAAATACATGTTAAGATAGTAAGCCATTGCTTCACTGACAAACATACTTAACAATTAAACTAACTAATAAATTAAATAATGTTGTTATGTCCCCACATTTAACATGCTGTAGTCTGTAAGCAAAGAAAGTCCCCCCCCCCTCCTTTGCTCTGACATCAGACATGAATAAGTATCTCATTAAGATCCCCCAAAACCATCTGTCCTCTGAGTCGCCTCCTTACAAAAAAAAATCTTCTCTTAAACAAAAGAGTAGGATTCCCTCGTTACCCTCATTAGGAATTTCATTATACAATCAATGGCAAGTTGCACTTGTAATACATTGAGGGGATAAGTATAAGACACTGGGTTATTTTTGTAATAACTAGCATGTAAAACTCTCATCAGATCCAGCAATATCAACATTTACTGTACATTTCACAATAAAAGCTTCAAGCCATCAAGAATGTACGTCGATGTAGGTTGCTTTTCATTTTTATTGCATGTTAGTTATATAAATCTCCAGGGTATTGTTTACAAAAGTTGATGAAAGTTTGCAAGTTTGTATGGAACTTATTATTTTGCACAATAGCAAAAATGCAATATCCACTTCATGACTACTCCATTAGAGATAACTATGCCATTGTGTCTATGTTTTTTTATGCATGGTTGAATGTGTGTGCAATTACTTTTCCGTCTCCATTTAATCACAGTCATATGTTGATTGGCAGATGCTTTATGCAAATGCTCCCACAGCATCCATAACAATAGAAACGGAGGGAGTTTTACAACAACAATGAATAACTTTGTGGTCTCATAACTGGAATGCTTTGAATATGAGTGCTGCAAATCTTGTTTACATGGAATCTAAAACTGCTGCTATTAATGGGAAAATGATTTCATGTGATAGAAAAGTTTGAAAACAAGGACAAGCCTCTAAAAGCAAACACTGTGGGACAAGGTTTTGAAATAGAAACAAAGAAACAGGCTTTCTTTGAGCAATATGCCCACCACATGTGTTCTGTTCTTGAAAATGTTGCAAGTTACCAGTTGAGATTTTAAAGAAGAATATACAGTAGGTATTTCAGGTTTAACTTTCTTCTAACAACAGAGTTTTACATTTTTCCAAAGAGGAACAAACTTGAGGTTAAACAATGCAGTATTCTATTCATGGTGTTGAATTAGTTTTCACTTCTGACCAAAACCACTCCTCCATTTCTTTCAAGGCAATCTGATTATTAGACAACTGTCAACATGAAACCTTATGTCTTGCATCAACAGGATACCTTTTGCTCACAATCCAGGATCTTGTTTTGAGTCCAACATACAGGAAATGCTCTGTAGGAAACGGCTGCATGTCACTCATGACAGCCGTCTCAAAAAAAGATAACAGGACTGTTGTTGCACTCCCTGCTTTTGTTGACCTACATTTAATGCTCTGCCTTATTAGCCAGCATTGTTTGCATCGGCTGTCACTGCTCATTAAAATCTGCACAACATTGTCTATGTTTGTGTTCAGTTATCTCATTGCACACGGCCACCATGATGCTAGACATTCACTGTCAGTCTGTCTAACACTGCATTTGTTGGCACATGTTCTCGTGGCACTTTGTAAAAGCTAGTGGGAAATGATTGCACGTGAGGGGACTAATCACTTATCACATGTAACCTGTTGAATGATTATAGGTTTTGTCTCGCACAGATACATGTTTAATGAGAAGCGTCCTGTTGTTTCCATTATGTCTAAAGGGCATGTTTGTTCCTGCTGTAATCTAATTCAGGTCAATATAGCATCAACATGATACTAGGTTAATTTAAGATTAGTACACATGAGAAAAACCAGTCAGTAACCCATCAAAATAAAGAGACGGTGTGTAAACACTGTATTGGTTATTTTTGACCCAATGTTAGAAAAATCAAGCTAAAGTTTTACCCTTAAAACTGATTTGTTGTCAGTTTCAAAAACTGTGTGGACATGACATTTAACAACTACAAAGGATACACCAACAACATATAATAATATGAAACAAAGAGCTAAAGTAAATTATGGAAATTGGGGACAGGCTTTAGTTTCGTAGTATAGAAAATAACACAAACACTGGGTCCAAATCTCTGGGTTGAAAGGTGACCAAGGATCTTTTATGTTGCAAGAGTTTCAACAAAATCATTCTTCAAAGACAGATCAATTTGAACTGGAGTATCAAATACTTATACTTGAGTAATTACAAAGGGCATTGTAGTCTATAAACTCTGGGGGCCTCCCTCAGCTGGAGGCCCGTTGTAATCAGTGCCGCTATTCACCCAACTACAACACCCAGAATAATATGTTGTCTAGTCTATTGTGTGTCTTTTTTTGACTGAACGTGAAGCCCCGCATGTATGCATCATGTCTCCCGCTCTCACTGTAACTCTGTTTGCATTTCACAGGCTTTGAGCTTTCGGCGCAAAGAAAATATCTTGAACAAACACTGGTAAACTGTTTCCTATTCCAGTTATGTTGCTCAATTATGAGCATGCCATTTGAGGCTCCGTTTTATATTATTTAGAAGTCTGAGATTTCCAACAGGAGAACATTTGGATGATATTTGCATTAGTAGACTTAAACCAGTTCAGCAGGATGAAGCTAATGCAAATATTGAACTAGAATTTCCATTTTGTAATAGAAAGTGCCCCACAGTGAGCCCACAACACTGGCTTCTCTATCAAATACTGCCCCCGAGTGGTGGATTGGATCATGGGAACCAGTGAGGAAACCAAAGTTGGAGAGCAGAGAGGAGAGTGAGGGTCTGAGGACGAGACGAGCAGCAGAGGCAGGTCAGTCTGTCTGCACAGGAAACACAGCGAGGGAACCGAGGCATGAGGGTCGACAGAGTCACCAGGTTTGTGGGGATTTGGGGGAAATACCTGCATGATTAAACTGCTGTGACGATCAGAGAAATGCAATATTAAGGTTAATAATTATCAATAATTTAAAGAATGTAGTATTTTGTGCTTTTCTGGTGCAGAAGTGTTTCATTTATTAAGAAAGTAAACGTGAAGTGGTGAAGCCATGCAATGTCATCTTATTGGAATCTTTTTTATGATGATCATGATATCTACATTAGCATGAAGCGGTTTTTTTCAAGGTCACTATATGGCCTAAATATAGCCTCATGTTTGGTGCATTGAGCATAATTATGACAATTGATCACGTATTGATGTTGTATCGTCATGCTAAAATTAAACCGGCATATGTTGGATGATAATACACTTTAATAAGGTAGATACGTGTTTAGGCTGCAGTCATATTATAAATATATATTTGTATTGTTTTGGTGCAGTTAGTCGTTATAGGAGGTCTATAAACGATAACAAATCATTAAAAAAAGGGAACTGCAGGAAGCATTTGCATTGTTGTAACCCAAAATAAGTCTAAATGTCCATCATTAACCAGCTGTTATCATTTATTATTAAAGGTTTTAAACTTTTCGACACTATCGTTTTGAGCAAATAAGGCTGTGTAAAATCCCCCTCGCATGTTGTAGCCAATAAAAACCAGGCTGACATTGACAGCCCAGGTGCATCTTGGGAGTCGTAGTTCGTTGGTCTCGTGCAGCCCGTTGGCAGTGCGGTTCTCGCTGCGGCGGAGGACTACACAGCTCCGGGTCCCGCACAGAGGCGGCTGACAGCGGTCGGTACGGAGCGAAGGACGGCGCCACAAATATCCACCGTCTGGTTTTTTTCCAGGGGTTTGACGTTTCCATTAAATAAAAAAGTTGACATCTGCAAGTATGCAGTCCGAATCGGGAATAGTTCCCGACTTCGAGGTTGGAGAGGAGTTTCAAGAGGAGCCTAAAACGTATTACGAATTGAAGAGTCAACTCTTAAACAGGTCAGTTGTTGAGACAGTTATTTCCCACGCCGGAGCGGTTTTGGTGTTTAGGTGATAATTGGGCTCCAGATTCTGTTCTGAGCTGTTGTTCCACAGTGCGTGCATGTAGCAGGCTTCTCCACAGATGTTACTGGAGCTCATCTCCATGCCGGGATTCAACTCCCATTCCTTATGGTTATCCTGCTGGCATGAAGTTATGCAACACTTGGGTGTTGTCTTGTCAACATCTACTTCAAATATTAGCTTGTAGAGGAGAGAAAGGTCAGTTTTCAGAGGAGATCCTGCTCAACTTCACTCATTGCTGATGTGTTGATAAAGCTGATGGGTGGGATGATGTTTGTATGGCTACTACTTTAAAGAAAGTGTACAAACAGCCTACCTCTTGATGGAAATGTTCATAGCCAAATGCAATCTGTAGGTTACCAATAACTGGTTAGTCAAATAATATTGTGTCACTGTGTTTAGTAAATTGTCGTAGGATACATAACAACCATCTACAGTGGAACATGTGCAGATATTTTTGTGGAGAAGCTACACTGCGAGATGTTTACATTTCATATCAACTATTAAGAGGCGGATAGAGCTATAAAAGTGTAACCTAACACAACCTGCTCTTGAATCCAGTGTCTGCTTTCTATGTATTTATTTGAAGAGCTGGAAATTCAATGCTGAAAGTAAACATTGGAGAGTCGCCTCTTAATCCTGACTAAAACAAACATTGTTGTAGAATAAACGTTACAAACATTAGAAGTTCATATGGACATGAACACACAGACTTATCAGAAAGCTGCTGTTGAGGCCACTCCAAACAATCAGCAATGGCTGAGTCAGGTCTCTGTGGTCTCATTTGACCTTTCACCTTTTTTCTGGAAGTATTGCACATTGCTGTCTAATGTATGTTCAGATGCTAATGGTGTAAGCAATAATACTAATATATATCAAGGGGTCTCAGGAAGTCATTGAAGACACAGTTTTGGGAAACTCTTCTTTGAGTTAGATAAGATTTATACCACTTTCATGTCCTAAAATTGAATATAATTCTGGAGCCGGGTGACAGTTAGCTTAGCTTAGCATAAAGACAAGAAAAACAGCTAGTGTGGCTCTGTACAAAGTTAACAAAATCCATATTCCAGCACCTTAGTGATGACGAGACTGCCGTAAAAACACAACTTTACATTTTTACATATGACTTTTTGTACACTTAGATATCACTCTTGTTAATTACAGTTCTTTAGAGTTGTCAGAAAGATTTCTCTCTTCAATTAACAAGAAAGAAAATGAAAGTTATTGCCAAAATAGAGTATACAACTTATTTTATGCACTTTTTAGTAGCTGACAATTGTAATAACGTCATGTTTTGATGAATGACTTTTGACCAAAGTTCATTCTAAATATAGATAAATACCAGAATAATTTGTAGGTACTGACTAACTAAGAAAAAACAAGTCTATTTTGACTGATGACGATCAAGCATGACACTGTTTTCTGGGTGATTTTAATAGATTACACAACACTTTTCAGCTGTGATCTAACGCAGATGTTGTGAAACTCACCACTTTGCTGTGTTGCTGATGGGAGTGATGAGGACGGGAGAGATTAATACCTCTATTAACAGAATGGTGTTTCATTATCAGTTGTTTTTTTGGATCTACGTGTCTCTGTGAGGTTGTTCAGCAGTAGAAAAACATGGCTTCATTGTGAGAGGACAGTACACCATTGTTTTCAGACAGAGCTCTTATTACAGACGTTTGGTAGACTCTGGTTGATTCTTGAGACTTTTTTTTGTTGCAGATTTGGAGTTAATCTACGTTCCTCTAAATTCAGCAACAACTCCAACTCACGGAGAAGAAAAAACTGTCTTCTCGCACAGCCCTACCCTTTAACCCAGTTCTGCATTTTTTAAACTAATTACTTGATTAGTGAAATGTCATTATACTGTTACGCGTACAATCTGAGCTGTGTTGTGTTGTGTTGTCACAGGCAGAGCAGCAGAGGCAGCCAGTCTCAGTGCGAGCGAAGAATCACAGATTATTTCATGCCAGTTACTTTGGAAAATGTGAAGTTGTCTGAAAAGTTGTTTCGATTGAAGGCGTCCCACTTCCTCTTCCCATCACATGAGGATGATCCAGCACAGTCACGATGACAGTGTTGCGAGACATTGTTGCGCATAATGGATATAATTAGTTCCATTGATTATTGGTCATATCCCGTCATTATTACCCCTGTGGTTTCCAAATTTAAAATCTGAGGTGTGACAAAATCATTTCAAAGACATATTTGTGTTCTTATTTCAGTTTGAGAGAGCGCTCAGCCTGCTGCAGACGATGTGCCAGTCTTTTTGTGCCGAACATAGACGTGAGACAGACAGTGAAGCTAGTCTACTGCAGTGTGAATAAGATGTATATTTAGCAGTGGATGTGTTAACTCTGAAACTGAGAGTTGAAGCCTCATTATTTTCTGGCTGACTTGGCATGCAAAGTGAAGTCTTGTGCTTTCTAATGCATGAGGAAAATGCATTAGAAAGCACAACATGTATAAAAAAAGAAGCAGATATGTTCTCACATAGATGGGTGACACCTTTTGAATCAGCATAAAAAATGCTATAATACATTACTTAGAATCTTACAATAACTTTGCTTCATTTAATAAAATGTTAATAATGGTTCATTCCATATAAACACAAAGACAGTTTCAAGGGCTTTGCTAAAAAAACAATCCTTTTAAAATTCACACAATCAGGACATTTTCAATCAAAGAATAAACAATCAAGACTGATAATGTGATCAAATGATCGATCAATGACTACTTATGATACTGGACAGGTTGCCATACATGCAAATCTGTCTGTATTAAGTGAATATTGAGGTTTCATTCTTATATTTCCATATGGTTTGCCTGGATGACCTCATATGAACATATTGCAATATCAAATACATTAGATTGTGCCCGATTGCCTTTAAATGCTGGTTTGTTATTATGAATTTGGGAATAAAATGAGGTGATATCTGCCTGTGAGAGACAGCTGAATCGTGGGTTGAGGGTTATGAAAGTGCAGTGTTGGGAACAGCTTGTTCCCGAGGGGATATCGTAGACAGAGATGTCTGAAGGTGACGGGTTTCAGGCATGAGCTAATAGGGACAGCAGCTTAATGACACAGACAGGTGGCTGCAGTAAAAGTCCGTCCTCACTACTTGTCCTGCAGTTAGGATCACTTTGCTGCGTCCTAACCTTTACTTGTGGCTTCTTGAAGCACTTTACAGTTCCACATTGGATCATTTTCACAAACTTTGGAATTGTTTTGCATTGCTTCAAGAGTATTAATAATAATTTAAATGTGTGATTTTTGTCAGCCTCTGTTGGTGACCAGTAGGGACTGCAACAACACTGAAACAGCACTTCCAACACAACATCCTGCTTCCTGCTAAATATTGTAGGGCTGTATAACTCAGCTCATTATTGATTAAGTCTGCTGAATTCTTGCTCAATTAATCTATTGAAATGTCAGAAGATAGTAAAAACAATGACAAGCGAAGTATATCTTAGAAACCAATAATGTAAAGTCTACAAATTTCATGTTTTGACCACCACAACACAGAAGACACTTTGTTTAAGCAATTGATCAACTTTTTTGTCATTTCTTCTTAAGAAACCGACTTAAATCGGCTTATTTATTCATTTCAGAAATGTTGTGATAAGGATTAAAGACTGTTGCTTTATTTGTGAAGAGAGGTAGCACATCCTCCACTATTGAGCATTTAATAAAATATATACAAAAAACCCAACAACTGTTTAATAAACAGATTGGGTTTTAAAGGTGGGGTAGGTAAGTTTGAGAAACCGGCTCGAGATACACTTTTTGTTATATTCCATGGAATGCTCTTAACATCCCGATAGCAATGAATATCTTAAGTGCTTTGACAATAAATACATACAAAAATGTCATCTGTGGAAGCCGTAATACTGTAAAAAGCATGACCAATCATTTTAGCCAGCCCGGCTAAAATAACTGGATGGCCTACCTGCCTGTCAGCCTTCCATCTGTGCACAAACTTATCTCGTGCCCTCATTGGTCATGTGCGCGTTCGTGTGTGTTGGAGGAGGGGCTCTGTAAGGAAGTGGCAGATTCTTTCCGGCTGTGTATTTTCAAATTCTAGCACACTCAAGCTGGTTTCTCCAAAATTACCTACCCCACCTTTAAGCATAGTTAAATATAATTCGAAAGAAGATGTCCAAATGAGGAAACTCCAAGACCAAAAAGCCTTATTTAAAAAGGAAATTAAAAAGTATTTTGGGCCTTTAAAGCCCTGCTGACAACAACACAAGCTAGGAATCAATGTACTAAATGTTAAATAACAAAACATTTTAAGAAAACAAACCCCTGCCCGACCATTAGGTTCATGTCTACTAGGTTGACAACAAAGATAGTTCAACTCAAACAAGGCCTCCTTATAGAGCCCGCAGAGTCCAACCAAAATGTAAAATAAAACAAAAAATTGCCATACAGTATGTTTTCCTTTTAAATGAAACGTATAGATAAAGAGCTGTAGAAATGCATAAAAAACCCAAAAGACTGAAATTTACCGCACATAGATCTTGATTAGGAGTCCGGCCTAGTTGATCCCAAGTCCTCTAGTTGCTATATTCCCAATATTCTTCAAAAAAAGGACTCCCATTTTTTTCTTCACATGAAGGTATACCATCAAAAAAAGATCCAAATGCCTTTTCCATCTGCCGAGTGTGCAGCCTAGATCATCCATAGCTCCTCTGTCTATCTCCAAAAGCCTTTCTGCTTCAACACAGGACCAAACAATTCACTTCCCTATTGTTCTTCAGGCCACGCCCCCTTGCACCTGTGATCCAGGAGCACCAGACCACCTGACCACTGTTAGCTGCAGGACGCTGCATTTGGCAAACATGTGAAATCACGAGTTACACAAGTCTATAGTCCCCCGGGGGCTGCATTCATGGCGCTTCATAGAGAACATTTGAATTCAATTCTG